CTTCGTTATCCACCCTCTGCTCATCGTCTTCGACAAAGATGATCTTTCAGTTTAAGTAAAGGGAGATGGCGTGGCCTTGGAATGGCCTTCTCTCTGGTGTCAAACGAGTATGACAGAAAGAGTTTAAAGGCTCAAATAAATTAAAAATATGTTTCTGTTAAACTGATGATTTGCAGATGGTAAATAAAGAGACTTCCCATTGTCTGGAGTCAGCTTCTTTGCCCTGACCGTGCACTTCCCCTTTACTGGATTCAGTTAAAGCATTATTCAAAAGGGGGACAGATTCAATTTGGGTCTGTAAAAAGATCTTTAATAATCATTATTTAGGTGGATTGGTTCCCATCCATCATATGAGGCTGGAGTCTTGAATAAAGGGGATGTTGTGATAAAAGAGCTCCTTAAAGGTTCCAGTGACCCAAATCCTCACTAATCATTTTAAAGCTGTGACAAAGATGCTGGTGGGTGGAAGTAATATCGCTCCTTAATCCAGATGTACAATAAAATAAACTCCCACTGCTGAGATTTAACTCTTCCTCCTTTTGTTTTCTCTAACCCTTTAGCTATCCACCTAGAAAAAACAATAAACTTAGTTTAGCTTTTTTTAAAATTGCATTGCATTTTTTAGTGTTAGTAGTTTGTGTGACGTTGTTACCTGGCATCTATTTATTTTTACCTCTGATTCTCTTTGAAGCCATTGTGTGTTTTGTTCTAATTTGTGTCACATCTGATGTATTTTGCATCTCATGTTAGTTTCTGTGGTTGTTTACTGACAGTTTTAGTTGCTTTGTGTTATTTTTCCTGTTGACTCACATCTTGGAAATTTGCATCCTTGACTGGGTTTTCACTTTTTATTCTAATCTTCTGTCTTTGTAGCTATTTTGAATACTTAAGGTTTTCCGGTTTTGTGCTAATCCATAGGATCTTTATGTGCTTCATTGGTGTACTTCAAAAAAATTTTTATTTTTATTCATTTAGCATCTTCTCAGTGGCCTAGTGGTATGAGCGTCTGCCCTGAGGCTGAGACATCGTGGGTTCAAATCCATGGTTGGGTCTTATTGAAGACTTTTAAAAAATAGGTCCCGATGTCTCCCTACTTGGCACTCTGCTTTAAGGGGTTGAACTGGAGAGTTAAACCACCAACTAGTTCCTGAGTGCGACCACTGCTGCAGCTCACTACTCCCCACAGAGATGGGTCAAATGCGGAGATGTCATTTCAGTGTGTGATGATGACTACTGAACTTTAAATGTTGATTTCAATCCATTTTTGTATTTTTAGTTATTCTGACATCTGCACAATGTCGGTCATTTTCAATCGCAGTTTGAGATTTTATTTTTCTCGTTTTATTTGAAATGTTCAATATCGGCTTTCTTACCGATATCCGATATATCCATAGCATTATAAATCACACATGTACTATTTAGAGTGCCTTGTTTGTTGATGTTTACGTATGTTTACTTATTGAATGATTTGTGCTTTTATTCTGCACAGTGTCCTTGAGTGACCAGAAAGGCGCTTTTAAATAAAATGTATTGTTATTATTACTACTATCTACCATCATGCAAACTTAATCTGTAAGTACTAGTATATATATATATATATATATATATATATATATATATATATATATATATATATATATATATATATATATATATATATATAAAATGTTTCTACCAAATTTTGAATTTGTCTTTTTTTTAAAGGAGTCAAATATAAATCATTTCATCTGGAACAAAGCTGATAGACTGTGAAACCTTCATGCCACAGTCATAAGTTGGATTTTGTATTTTAATCAAGGTGATTTTATGGCTAGAATTTTTCCTGTGAAACAAACAATCCCAACCACCCGACCTAAAATCCAACCGCCTGTATCAACGTATAAAATAAAATCAGCCATTCCACCAGACATGCCGATTTATTTTCCCACCCACAAAGCGACAGCTTCTCCTAGTCTGGCAGCTCCTCGGCTGCCCTCCACCCCCACTCCCTCCCATCTGTTGCCCACCTGATTCGTGAAAACAACTCATCTGCTGGCCATCTTTTCTGAAGAAAAGAAGAAAAGAAATAAGTACCACTACTGCAGTTCTCAGCACATTTATTCTTTTGTTGTTTCGACATCTTAAAGGAATTACTAATATCATTCTTGTCACTGTGCAGAACGGGATTCCCTTCCTCCCATTCTGCAGCTAAAACATCTAGAATAATGTAAAAAATATTAAAAACCATCCATCTTAATTAGAACTCAGGAACAATTACTTGTGTTCTCTCAGAAACAAACCAATACTCATCCTCACTGTCCAGTTTGTCAGTCTTAAGATTGCCGTGTTCATTTTTAATGCCCCGGTGATGTAATGAAAACTGCTGGGAGCCAAAGGGGCCCCTATCCACCCCACTAACACTGCTGCAGGGTGCCATTAACCCAGAGCTTCCCGAAGGATGCTGCCTGTTCATCATAGCTCTTGGCTGCAGCTTCAGTAGCCAGGACCAGCATAAGTAACTGTCAACTTCATGTCTACTGTGTGATTTGAAAGGATCTGATTCCTAAACAGCCTGAAGACAAAATTACTGGGACTATACGCCATCACTTTCAGGTAAACTGGATGGACAATAAACTCCTTTAGCCAGCTTCTCATCTAATGAGCCATGGACAAAACAGAGGAGCTCGAATGGTGATGGTGATACTGCATCTGCCATGAGTAATGGCTCCAAGCTGACAGCCCAGGGGAGTTGTCAGACTCAAGCCACGTTGGCCGACAGGAGAAAACCTCAACCTGCAGCGGCCATGATGGTTTGCAGAGCCGAGACACAGCCCAAGCTTTAACAGAATCTTAGGTGTTATAATGAAAACATATATGTATGTATGTATATATATATATATATATATATATATATATATATACGTATACACACATATATATATACATATATATATATATATATATATATATTTATATATACATATACATATATACATACATATATACATACATATACATATACATATATATACATACATATATATATATATCCGTATATATATATATATATATATATATATATATATATATATATATATATATATGTATATATATATGTGTGTATACGTATATATATATATATATATATATATATATATATATATATATATATACGTATACACACATATATATATACATATATATATATATATATATGTAGATATATATTTATATATACATATATACATATACATATATACATACATATACATATACATATATATACATACATATATATATATCCGTATATATATATATATATATATACATACACACACACACTAAGTTCTTGTTATGAAGGACTGGTAACGAAACGAGGCACTGTTTCAAATGACGTGAATCGGTGCTCAGTCGGTACTGTGGAATTCGGTCGGTACTTTAAAAAGTACCGAATTCAGTACCCATCGCTAGCTTTAGTTGAAGATTTTATTCAAATCCAAGTGTTAAATGATCCAAACAACATTTTACTGGCAGTGATTGGACTTTCATTCAAAGGCTTTAATGAAGCTTTAACACAATTACACTTTTTTAATAGGGATGCATCATAAAGTTGGTACAGAGTTAGTCAATGTTCAGGAAAAATCTGTTTAATCATGTTCGGCCAATCAGGAATCAGCCAATATTTTATTTCGGGGGGATTTTTGGGAAAACTTTTATTTTGTTAATTATAGTTCTTTGACATAAGCCAGATCAGGCTGTTTGAGAACCAAAAATAAGTATCAGCCATTAGATCAAAACTAAGATATCTTTGTTTTTTATATTTAAATTTCATTATGCTTAAGTAGTTTTTCTAAATGTCCCGCTGTTGTATAGCACCTTTCAGAGTCAGAGGACTCCAACGCGCTTTACACTACAGTGTATCATGCATCAATTCACACACACATTCACACGCTGATGAGTGATGAGCTACAATGTAGCCACAGCTGCCCTGGAGCTCACTAACAGAGGCAAAAACAGTTTCTCTATAAAGTCATGTCAGGGTTTCACATCGATACGTCAACTGATTTTTTGACTACTAATGTGCATTTCTGGATTACAGAAACAAAGATTTTCCCATGTTACAGATGTGAGAAATGCATTTTTCTCTTTGCTGATGATCTATTGATTCTGCATCTTAATGTGACTGCAAACAGCTTTTGTGCTCTCTCTTTAGAAAAGCAAAGTTAGATGGGAGGTTTGAAAACAGGATAATATTCTGGTTCAGCACCATAGATCACAATATCTCTCTTGTTCACCAGCTGCAAACAGCTGGGCTGCTTAAACTGTGGTTTTAGAGTGAAAATACTCCATTGAGTCGTGTTGCATCACAGGGAAAGCAGGTTGTCCCATGAAAACATCACAATTTTTAGTTTTTAAGTGGGTTTCTCATTTATTAAGATGCACATTCACTAGTCAGAAGTAGAACGATTAACCATCCAAAATAATAAACCAATTTGGTTATTTATACCTGTACCAATGAAAATTAGGAAAAGGAATTTGCAAAGCCAGAAAACCTGGAACAATCTATATGCAGCTGGACAGAAACCTTAGACTTCCATAAACAACACTGTTGTTGTTGTTACACAATAAAATAGCTCCTGCTAATTTTAACACTTTTCGTTAAATAATCATCCAGAATAAATAAATATGTACAGATGAGCTGATGCAAAAACATGAGAATGCTGAAAATAAAGCTGCACCACTGATGCTGTAAACATATCTGCATTATTGCGCTACAAACAAGCATCTGCTTTTTTTTAAATCTTCTAACAAAGCAAATATTGGGTTAAAATCTTGAAATTGGCCAATTTTACATGTAAAAATGCGAATTTCACCCAAAAGTTTAAACTCTTCGTCATTGAGCGATTTTCTCCCACAATTAAAAATATAGCCATCAAAAAATATTTAGTTATATACACGCTTCTGTGCCGGGTGTTTTGCTCTTTAGCTCCAGATTGAAACCAGAAGAGACCGTTTACTACCTCAACAGTTGAAATAACGCCCACAGGAGTAGAACTACAGCTGTCAGCATCACTTAAACAGTCCGCTTGGTTCTGGTGGGGCCTTCCTGCACCATCCGGCAGAACAAAAACCTGCTGCACCGATGAAGGAAACGGACAATCCATTGAATGAACACACTTGCTCCCTTCATCCTGATTGCTTTGATGGTGGCTCCTCAAGATGCAGAGCGTGCGGTGCAGACTGCAACGATCTGCTTTTGATGCTCAAACCAAATGCAGATGATAAAAAATAAATCCTCACAGACCGCATCAACATCTTTACACTTCTGTTTCACCTGCTTATTGCAGATGATCAGAACGGGACAATGCAGCAAAACAAAGGACACCTTGCTGAAACATTGACTGCAGCAATATTCTTATAACAATGAAAAACGATTTCATATCAGTCATCAAAGGAAGAAGAAACCACGCTCACCGCTTTCTGCAGTCCGGTTTTCCAGTCAGCTGTTGAAAATGGTTAGGCGTGTGTGCGTGTTGGAGGCACCGTGCCCGGCTGGTGTGTCCGTTCTCCCCACTCAGCCGCTGCAACGGCAAGCTGTGTCCAAGGATCCATCCGCTCCCCCCTCCAGCCCCCCTCCGCTGTCAAATACCAGCAGCCACGGTGGGATCGTCTCTTTCAACAGAGCGCGTGCTCCCCCTCTAAAGGCTCATCCGGGTTACAACGCTGTCATCGCTGCGTTCTGTTTGGACAACAAACTTTATATTATGTCAGATGTTGCTCAAATGGTTATAAAATTAGCTCCTTAAAATATATTTGTTGTAACAGAAACGCATAGCATAGGTTTTACGTGACGGCTCGGCGTTCACATAGCTAATTACTCTAGTGGCACACCGCTATCAGAGTTACTACTTGCTGGCATTATAATAATAATAAAAAAAGAGTTGCTGGCATTAAAAATCCCTCCAGGCTCGAGGAAAATCCCCACATTACACGAAAATAAAGTCCGAGTGACGCATCTTCGCATGAATCTCGGTGCTGAAAGAACGAATCGCGCCTGCAGCGCCCCTCTTCCACCGGGCGGCAGAAGGTAGAGCTACAGCTGCGAGATGCGTAAACCAAACAATAAGAATGAAGACGGTCTTTTATATACCCTCAAGATTAAAATCACGAGGCGCTTCACAAGAACGAAAATTGAAAAAATAATTTAAAACATATATAAAAATGGGGAAAAGTAAAGAGCAAATAGATTTTAAAGCATTTGAACTTAAACAGTGCTCTGAAACTAGTTTACAAACTAAGATATCCCTCAGGTCAGTGGGGTCCAAAACTTTGGAGAAATGATCAATAAAAAGTGTTGTTTTAATGAGTTTCCTCCGTAGGGTGGCCGGGCTCAGCCTTAGAGATAGGGTGAGGAGCTCGGACATTCGGGAGGGACTCGGAGTAGAACCGCTGCTCCTCCGGATCGAAAGGAGCCAGTTGAGGTGGTTTGGGCATCTGGTCAGGATGCCTCCTGGACGCCTCCCCGGGGAGGTGTTTCGGGCATGTCCTGCCGGCAGAAGGCCCCCGGGTCGACCCAGGACACGTTGGAGAGGTTACATCTCCAATCTGGTCCGGGAACGCCTTGGGGTCCTGCCGGAGGAGCTGGTGGACAAGGTCGGGGAGAGGATGGCCTGGAGCTCCCTAATTGGGATGCTGCCCCCGCGACCCGGACCCGGATAAGCGGAGGAAGACGAAGTTTTAATGCCATTGTGAAATTTAAAAACCACAAAATGCATAATGAAATTAGGAAATATATATATAATTAGTTTAGATAAATCATTTTCTAATGTTGTGCTCTTGAAAATAAATGTCAGTTTATCATCAGCAACAAGAAGGACACATCAGGTCACTGTTTGCTGTGTTTATTCAGGTTTTCTGAAAGTCTGCTTTTAATGTCAGTAAGGGTTGATTTGGTCCTATTCACCAATAATCTCAAAAAAGTCAGATCATTGGTTAATAAAATACCCTTTATATTTTAAAGTAGTTTTAACAGAATTTTTGTTTGGATTGAAATCAGTAAAACATTTTAAATGTTTATTAAAGCATCTGCATCTAGGGTCTAAATAATAGTGGATCACATGTAAAAAGATGTATACATCTGTGGTGGAGAACTGTGCTGGAGGAGGAGGATGACTGTAATTCACCTGCTGTAAATGTGATGAACCTTGCTGTGGTTGTTAAAGAAACAATCATCCTTCAGGATCTCCCAGATCTGCCAACGGCTTTTGCCTTCGTCTTTGGGTTGATCTATGTCTTAAACCTTCAATATCCAAAAGATCTCAGGTACACCTTCGAAACGGTTCAGAAAATCTTTATGGGACTTGGGACAGATCTCTTGGCAAGAGTAAGATCCCTCAAAACAGGCTTTTTCTATGTGGTAGCTGTTGGATCTATTACCTTTTTTTTTTCTTTAATGTATTGCAGTTTTTCAGTTTTGGGCTTACTTAAATTTAGAGTTCAAGTCACTGTTTCCACTGTTGCCACTTTAATAAAAAGACTGTTTTTTACAGAAAAAATATATATAAATTTTTATTTGTAATGCTATGCTTGTTCTCTAGTGAAGTTAGCATTTTAAAGATTTTTTATGTTTTACGGGAGTTTCTCTTAAAATGTCTGATACAAGGTCAGCATTTTGTTTGTTCCTGTCCAGCCAGTTATTCTGGAGTTGGGCTACTCAACCAGGTATACGCCAGGGTCTTGTAATTTTACGTTTAAAATAATTTAGTCTTACAGCTGGTCTCACAGCTAGATGTGTTGGGCTTCCTACAGTTGTAGTTTGGCTTTTTCAGCTGTTCTGTATCAAACAGATCTTAATGTTTTCATACCAATATTGTCTGTCAAGATAAGTTTTATGCTCCATAGCTTAATTTGTGTAGTGTGTTTTACTAAGCATTCTCAGTTTTTGGGAAGTATTACACATGGTGTTTAACATGATGTAACAAAAGTTCAAAATAAAAACACTTTTGAGTAGACATGGCATCTGAATTTGCTTTTGTTTAGAATTTGCTGTTTAAACCCATCTGTTACATTATTAAGTGTGGTCTATTATCAAAAATGACATTTTCCTATACTGTTTAATAACAGAGTTGGTGAATACAATATATACATGAGGTGGTAATTAAACTTTTCGCTGTGAAATGTCACAATTAAAAGTTGTTGAAATGTAAAATGTTATGCCTCAATAACTTAATTGAGTTTGGAAAAGTAAAAACTAATAGCTGGTGTAATGTTAAATTTTAAGTAAGTCGAAATTTTAAAATTGAGGTATAAATTAGGATTTACAGTCAGTACTAAGTTACAACTTAAAATTGGGTAGCAAAAACTTGGGATTCAAAGTTGCTACAACATACACTTGAGTTAGATAAACTCAGGTTTCATACTTATTACAGTTTAAATTTTTGAGTCTTTCCAACTTATAACTAAGTTAGCAAAACTTAGAATTGAGAGTTTGTCAAAATCAAATGCATAACTTAGAATATTAAGTTGATGCGCCAAACTTAAAAATTTCCTGAAGTTTGTTGCCTAAAAATTTTGAGTTTTCCCAACTATTTTTTTACAGTGAGAAAGAAAACAATCTTTTATGTAGTGCCACTCAAGATACAAATCACAAGGCAGTTTTAAAAAATGATTAAAAATTAGAGAAATGACTTGATGTTTTAAAATGTAAGGAAAGGGAGAGAGAAAATGAATAAGAAAGAGAAAAATCAGTAGATCCCGGGAAAGGCAGAATAGGTTGAAAGAGCAGAATAGGGAGAGGGTGGTGATGAAGGTCACACCAAAGCCTGAACAGGTGAGATTTCAGCTGCTTTTTAAAGGAGACCACTGAGTCCTCTGATCTCAGGCTCAGGGGGAGAGAGTTCCAGAGTCTGGGGGCCACGGCAGCAAATGATCTGTCACCTTTGGTCTTTAGCCTGGTGCTGCAGAACCAGTAGGCTTTGGTCACTGGACCTCAGGGACCTGCTGGGGGTGTAGGGACTGAGAAGATGATCCATGTAAGATGGTATATTGAATAAAAGGTTTTTATTCCCCTGGTTGTGGACAAAATAATAAGAAGACAATCTTTTATATAGCGCCTCTGAGATAAAATCACGAGGCGCTTGAAAAAAAAACCACGCTTTAAGAGAAGTCTTGTTCTCACCTGGATTCCTGCTCATTTACCCTTCTTCCTCCGACGTTTTCCCGGGATCAGATAAACATCGCTGGAGGCGTTCAGGTAGGAATCAGCGTTTGGCTTGAAAACAAACAGGGAGGTAAATCCTCGGTGCATCTTGGGCGATCATGGACGAGCGGAAGGACAAAAAGAGTCTGGCGATCATAGGAAATGGTAGCCGGGACACTAAAGAGGATTGCGGACAGAAGCAAGGCGGAAAAGAGGTTAGTAGAGAAAAGTTAGAAAAAGTGGCCGGTGACCACGGCTAATCCAAGCACAGGCGCCATCCTGTTACCTGTTAAAATAATGCCATCTTACACAAAATAATGAGTTATTTTAGGTTTGATTTGGAAATTTTGTGTCTTGAAGGACTCAAGAGGGATTCAGAAGGAGTCATGGAGACTCAGAATAATTCGGCATGACTCAGAGGGACTTCCCAGGACTCAAAAGGGACTCAGCTGGACTCTGATAGACTCGTAAGGATTTGTAAGGACTCAGATAGACACAGAAGAACTCAGACACAGAAGGACTCAGAGGAACCCAGCAGGACTTAGAAGGACTCAGACAGACACAGAAGGACTGAGATAGACTCATAAGGACTCAGATAGATACAGAAGGACTCAGATAGACTCATAAGGACTCAGATAGACACAGGACTCAGATAGACTCATAAGGACTCAGATAGACTCATAAGGACTCAGATAGATACAGAAGGACTCAGGTAGACTCATAAGGACTCAGATGGACTCATAAGGACTCAGATACAGAAGGACTCAGGTAGACACAGGAGGACTCAGAGGAACCCAGCAGGACTCAGAGGGACTCATAAGTACTCAGCAGGACTTAGAAGGACTCAGACAGACTCAGGACACAAGGGACTCAGAGACTCTGTGGGACCTCTGCAGCCTGCTGGTGAAAACAGAATCCTTTCCCAGGTCACACAGGAGTTTCTCAGTAGACAGGTGTTCTACAGATATAAGCCAGAGCTGTTCTGGTGCCAGAGTCTAAAGCAGCACACAGCACTACTCTTTCCTATCCCACCAAATTACATCTGCCAGCAGAAAGTTCTTCTAACCTGACAGCTGTGTGGGAACATTTCTCACCTTTTTCTCCTCACTCGGCTCCAGTCAGAGACGGCGCAGCCGAAGGCACGTCCCCCGTGGATTGCAATGATCATTAACAAGGCATCCATCAATAGAAGCTGGGTCTGGACCTCTTTAATTAAAGAAGAGTTTGGGCTGTGAATATTATCACACTTAAAATAGCTTTACATTAGACGTGCCCAACAGGTTTCTGGTTTGGACACCCGACCGACCGGCTGACATTCATCTTTTCCTGCATCTCACTGTTGAGTGAGAGTTTGCACAGTGGAGACGTTGGAATGGCAGGCTCAGGCAGCGCCGTCTGCCTTCCATGCCAGTCAAATAGTATGTGTGTGTGTGTGCAGGTGTGCCCCCGGACTAACCGACTGGCAGGGATCTGTGGACAGTCCCACCACCATGTCAACTACGTTGTGTTTTTCCTGAACCTCTCCAGGCACAAGATTTATTTTAAGCTTATTTAAATCCTGAAACTGATTAAATTAATCAAGTTTTGAAGAAGAAGAATCCACCTAACAATAAAAAGCCAATGTCTTGCTGTCATTTAACTGTTTGTGGATGCTCCAGTGTTTCTGTGTTTGTCCCATTTCCCTGAGCAGATAAGTGATGAGACACATTTGACATTCACCAGACTGTTTTTGTTTACCTAACAGTCATCTGATGGTAACTAGGACAGGTAGGATCTTTATCACACTGCTTATCTGACTGGGGAGGACTCCGATTAGAAGAACAGGAGACAAAAACGGCTGGAAAAACTAATCAAAATGCACTTTTAACAACAAAATAAAGCCAATTGATTAGTGTGATTTTTGCCAGATCAGACACAATTAGAGACAAGCGTGGGTACAATGAGAATATTTTAAATTAGATGGGAAATATGGCGGTTGCCAGGCAACAGCAAAAGACCACAGGATCCAATGTGTGTGAGTGGGAGGAGGAAAGAGACGCATTTTATTAATTTGTCTTTCTAAATACTAAACACCTCCCCCTTTTGGATCCCCCAAGACTTTATTATTTTGTGCTGAAACCTAAAAACTCCACAGATATCCTGCACCTAAACAGCACACAGCACACCAGCAGTAGCAGTAGCAGTGAACTTTATCGGTCAACATCCTTAAACACACACGCTATCCAGTGTTTACCTAATGAGAAGAGCCTTCTAGAGCAGAGTCAAGCAGAGGTTATGCAGCTATAAATCAGGCTGTGGCACCAGGGTGAAGCTGCATGTAATCTCAAACTGCACAAGAAAAGATAAAACAGGATTAACACAATAACTAATCAAGAACATTATCCAGAGTCAGCAATTTAAGGAGTTAAAGTAATGTACACTTTCATTACAAAACATGTCCCCATTCCGTAGAGCCCCATGCAATTTATTTATACATTTGATATTTGACACACACACACTTATATATATATATATATATATATATATATATATATATATATATATATATATATATATATATATAACCGAAATCCAAAACTAGTCTTGTGCTTTATGAAGATAAGCTCCGACAAGCTAGAACCGCATATTTTTCACTGCTAATTGAGGAGAATAAGAATAATCCAAAATTTCGTTTCAGTACAGTTGCAAACCTTACACAGAATCATAGCTCTGAACCATCTATTCCCTTAGCCCTCGCAGCAACGACGTTGTGGGATTTTTCTCAAGTAAAATTAATTCTATTAGAAACAAAATCATTAGCATCCTCCCTAATGTGATTTCTTCTTCCTCAGTGAGGCAGCATCAGAGGTAACTGTAGAACCTCATCTGTGTTTGAAGCGTTTTGATCCAGTTGAGCTTTCAGAGTTATCAAAAATGTTAGCTTCACCTAAAACTTCAACTTGCATTTTAGATCCAATATCAAATTATTTAATGATGCATTTCCTTTGGTTACTGCCCCCATTCTAAATATAATCAATCTATCCTTAGTAAGAAAATACACACTCTCTCTCTCTCTCTCTCTCTCTCTCTCTCTCTCTATATATATATATATATATATAGAGAGAGAGAGAGAGAGAGAGAGAGAGAGAGAGAGAGCGAGAGAGAGAGAGAGAATTTTCTTTTCTCTTTGTGCAATTCAAATGCTGACCGCTATTTAGCAGCAGTGTGCAATGGGTTTTGTTTCCATAATTGAAATGCAAGTCCGTCTATTATGGTTCGGATACCTCATGTTAAACGTGTTACGTATCAGTTTGGACTGTTTACTGAATTTTCCTATAATAAATTCAGTCTAAAAAAACACTAATATCATCTGACTGAATGTATTGCAATATATTGTGATACTTCGTATGGTCTCACCTGTATCGTAATACGTATCGTATCGCCAGAATTTCACCAACACACATCCCTACTAAATAATAATCGTTTTTCTTCTTTGAACTTAAATTTGTGGTCATTTGGAGCTTCTATCAAGTTTAAGTAGTTTCAGAGACTAAGTAAAAATTGAAATACTCAAACTACTACAGGAAAAGTGTGTAAGGCTGGTTAAAACAGACAGGAAAACACGTTGCATTCATGATGACGGCTTGTCTTCAAAAGAAGAAAAAAGCATTTAAGATGTTATGTGTAATTTTATTCTTTAGTGAAATAGTTTGACTCTTAAATGATGTAGAAGGCAGGGATTACATCAGTCAGGATCTCATGAGGTAAAAGGTGCATCCATCAAATAAAAATGTTTAAAAAAGAAACGTTTTAGAACATGCTTCATACTCATGATTATAACAATCATACTTCAGCGTGAGAGCACATTTCAAGACAAGAGGAACTCCAAGGCATTCATCCTCATTTGAAATATTTACAATTATTTCCTACAAAGTGCACATTTAGTAATTTATTACAAATAGGCAGCCACGTCATTATACCATAAAATATTCAACTTACTGAGAAGAAATATCAGCAGTTTGTTGAAAAGAATCACGCTGCTGATGTGTTTCACACAGACAGCCTTTTGTTTTTAGAAAGTATTTTTCTATTTTTTTTCTTTTGTTAATCACAACGATTTGATCATGGTGCTGACTGTGTGTACTGTTTTACTAATTAGGTCAATTATCAGCCTAATTCATAAGCAGCTTTTAAATGTAAATGTTTGACATTTAATACAATTCCCAAAAAATGCCTAAAATGTGCCAGATTGTTTTCCTCTAGAATTTTTCTAACATTAGTCCCTTTTCCAGGCTTCTGACTACAGCTTGGAGCTGAAGGGGATTCCCTCGTACATGCTGGCTTTCAGCTTCGCCCACTCGGCCAGTCTCTGGATAGCTCCCTTCTCCTGGCCCAGCACGCTCGCCGCCTTCCTTAGCTTGGCCTCGTTGCGCTCCAGGTAGCGTTCGGCTTCGCTTTTCAGTAAGTTGAGCTTCTCCTTCCGGTTTTCGTTCAACGGGACGTCCTCGCTCATGTAGGGGTTGAAGCGGAAGTAGGTATCCTGGGGCAGGAGGGCATCCAGCATGGTGTGCACCTCTAAAAACCAAATATTTAGATTAAGAGTGAGTCAAATATTCACCAGAGACAGAAGATTTTCAGCTCGACTGGTGTCCAACATGCAGCAATCAGATTTGTGAATTTGATTAGGCTAAAAGCGTCTCGGCAACAGATTTAAAGTACTTTCTATGTTTGCTACTGTTCTGGAGCATTAAAGGGGACAGGTTATCCTTTTGTCTTACCATGTGGGTCTCTACGGCCTCTATAAATACTACAGACATGAAAAACATGTCCATCTGTTTTCTGTGAGTTTGGTTTTTGGAATTATGTGCCTAAAACTAGCCGTTTCAAAAAGTTGCCATTTGTGATGTCACAAATGGGGAAATAAAAATAGAACCACATCTCATGTACAAATTCGCTGCCGCTGCAGGAAGAGCAGTGGTCCTATTCAGGGCCAGTCCGAGATATTAGAGCTTCTCAGCTTATAGCAGACTGGGTGGGGATGGGTGGGTGTGGCCAGTTCCAGCTTGTTTTATTATTTTGTTTTGTGTTGCTGAACTGCTGAAATTGTTTTACGTAAGAAGCACTTTCAGCAAAGAACTTCATTAACTTGTTTGGTATTAGTCATAGACCTACTAAAATTCAAGAACAAAAAAGTCTCAACATGTCCCCTTTATGGCCTTTCTTTGCTTTTGGCTTTACCCTCCAGGAGTTGCCACAGCCTATCACCTGTCTCCATTTAGTCCAGTCTCCTGCCTCCTCTACCCTCACACCAGCTAACTTCATGTCCACAGTAAATCTCCTCATGTCTCTCAAAACACCTGACACTTATAAAAATAGCTTAGTGTTTTCCAGAAAACTTCAAGTGTTTTGAGATATGCATTGGGGTGACGGTGGCACAGGAGTTAGGTGTTCGCCCCGTAATCAGAAGGTTGCAGGTTCGAGCTCCACTCAGTTTTTCGCTGTCGTTGTGTCCTTGGGTAAGACATTTAACTCTCCTTGCCTGCTGGCGGTGGTCAGAGGGACCGATGGCACCTGTGCTCTGCAGCCTTGCCCCTGTCAGTGCGCCCCAGGGCAGCTGTGGCTACATCGTAGCTCATCCCCACCAGGGTGTAAATGAGTGTGTGAATGGCTGATTGTGTTGTGAAGCGTCTAGGGGGGTTCAGGACTCTAGAAGGTGCTATATCAAATACAGGCCATTTACCATTAAATGCAGTAAAATGTAGTAAAATACCAGTATGAAAAATCAACTACTAAACGGTTTACTTTTGACACGAACGAAGGGTCAAATATACTATATTCATTCTATATTACTGTATAAATTGTAATTATTGGGATTTATTCAACCAGAGCTTCATAATTCAATCTTTATTTAACAACACTGGCTGATTTGTTGACTTTCAAGGCTCAATGATTCACAAATCAGAGTAAAGTATCCTAAAAAAAAGACTCTAGAAGGCTCTTCAACAAATACAGGCCATTTACCAGGCATGTTAGACTTTTAATGCGGTAAATTAAAGGAAGTTCACAGATATCTGCTATAGAAGCTGTGATGTAGATAGCCTAAAGTTAGCATCTAATATTCAGCAAAGACTACTGTATGGTTTAATCAGTAAAAACACACCTAAGGCCCGCTGTACCAAAAAGTAACAAATAACCAGGTTCAGGAGCTCAAAGGGGTTCCTGAAACTGCCTTTCACTTTTTTGAATCATTTAGATTTTTTTCCCCATCACCATTTTTTGTTTTATTCTAGAAATAATATTTAGAGTTTACTCGTTAAATTACATTTGGACTTATTCTGGACCATTTGGGCCATGCTGAAGCCTCTATCAGGGAGTGTGGGAGCACTTGCTGTGTTTTCGTACCCTCGGTGTCCGTCGCACTGCTGATGACGTGAGCCAGCTTTGTCTTCAGACTCGTGTAGGTGGTGCTGCTGGTGCCTGCAGTCTCGTACCTCCCAGTTCCCAGAGACAACACGCACTGCAGAGGTGTGTTTGGCCACAGACACTTACACTCGTGGATGGCCAAAGCTGTGGGATTGTTGATGAGAAGTCCTCCATCCTAAAGAGAAAACCAGATGCTTGTAGCATCACGATGGAGTTTAAATATAGCGTTTGTGACACATTTCTGAGAGGGAAAAAGGTGAAGTGGACAGATCTTCTCAAAGCTGAAAGCAAGTTTTAAAAAGCTGTTTTTAGCTGATTCTGGAACCTAAAATGACCTACAAAGTGAGTCAAACAGCTGTTTTGATCCAAACTCAGCTCGATTCATGATTAAATTGTAATTGTAGCTCTTTGTTATTGATTGGTTGCAGGTTTTAATAATTTATACTGTAACGTCCAGCAATGGTCAGTTTTTAGGTACTGTTTGACCATCCAACATCTGGTCAAAAAGGAGACACGAGACTGCATGTGTCCCCTCTAAATCAGCCTGCCTCCATTCCACCAGCTGGAGCTCAGAGCCTGCAGCTCTGACACAGATAATGAAATGTCAACAACAGCATTCTCTCCTCAAGGTCCCTAGCAGAGCACCCTTTTATCTAAGACTCCTTGCTTCACAGAAGAAAGAAGATTTAAAATTAAATATGAACTTCTAAAACTTATAAGCAAGATAATCATTAAATAAACGTTTGTTTATTGCTACTTATGATAATTAATATAATGAAATGCTTTCATTAATATGTGCTCAATGACTGAAGGTTGAAATGAATATTATGATTATGGGTACAGTGATTGAAATATGTTTCAGCATGTTTACTTGACAAGGTCATCACCATTTGCACTCACACAAGAACAAAGTAAGGTAAAGTTAAACTCATGACACATACATAGCCTTTTACCCCAGATCAGAGCATCCGGTATCAAAGAAGGCGTGTTTCTGAGATTCTTGGTAATATTCCTCAAACTTGTCAACCTCTGGTTGGCTACACAATCATAACATGAGAACATTAAAACCAGATCACTCTGGGATTCCTCAGTTCTAGAGAAGGCTTCAGACCAGCCACCTGAAGCACACCTCTTTAACCATCAAAGCTTTTGGCTCATCATCAAAACCTTTTTGCACCTCCAAAGCTGATAAAGCAAACAGTTCCTGCAGAATGAGCTGATATTGTTTAGACTCCTTAAGAGTCCACCAGAGACGCGCGGTTCCATACGTCTGTCGTGACCCGAGACATCTCTGGACTGAAGGGTCGGTGCCACGGTATTCTACAGCCCTTCGGGGCCAGAGGTCATTCGACCTCTTTGACCTTCGGATCCACCAAGAGGGTCTCAGAAAATGGGTGAAGTAGACACACAGATAGCGTCTGACGTGTTTTTGATAATAATCAACTTCATAGCTTAACGCAAACCAACTTCTTTTACATCCAGAACTCAGCTCTCCTAGATACGGAAGTTCTGACTAACATCGCCTTCACACATAGGTTCATACATCACAGTAGATGCTTAGTTAACTTGACATGTTTTAATTGTTTGTAAAATAAATTCTTACTTTTATAAACCTGACTCTTTTCTGAATCAAAACGAAGTGTGTACAATCCCCTAATAAATAAAGAATCTAGAATCTTCTGATTAAGGCACAATAAAGACCAGGCAGGGTGATATTCTATATTTAGATAGAGTATCACAGCTTATTGGTCATAACTTATGACTCACAAGTAGAGGTAATATATATACTGAGCTCTTAAAGCACTCAATTTACCAAACCCTACAATACTAAATAAAATATTTATAAAAGCGTCACAAAGAGAAATGCAGCCAATAAACAGAGAAAAAGACAACCTGCCCCGAGTTAACGGCCAGATGTAGCAGCCCTACTTTATCTCAGCGTTTCCCCGCAGGAGCGTCTGGATCCCATCAGAGCTCTGGGATCCCCGAGATACAGAGTCTGATACAGACTGAGACTGTGGTGACAAAACTGGTGACGTGCTCAGAAATCTACAAAACATACATCTAAACTCTAACGTATACTTTAGAAGGTTTATTCTTTTTATGCATTTAACATTTGTTTATGTGATGATTTGTTTTGGGATGTCCAACAATCCTGCAGCAGTAGTAAAGTCAGCTCAAACAGAATCGACCTCTTTCTGTGGCTGCTACCATCCCAGAGTGAAAAGCAGACAGAGTCAAACAGAAAAAAGCAACACATAGCTGCAAATAGAACAGTGAGTTGTGTCTTTTAGGCTTTTTCTGTTGCATTTTTGTCAATAAATAAAAGAAAACCACTGAAGCGAGGCTGCAGATCCAAATACCGCTATAGCTAATGTCAGTAAATAAATGATTAGCATCAATTCTGGACTGAAACAATAATCTACTGGAGCCCTACCAGACGAGAGGAGAAGGGACAGGGCTAATTTCCTTTAAGTAGGTTATCAGAATGAAACTAAGCTTGGAAACTAATTGCTCTTGATTAGGAATGTCTAAATATATCTGACCTAATAATCAAACTTCATGAAATAACAGATCTGTGTGGACAGCTGCTGAAAGGAGCACGCATGTTGATTAAAGGAGGCCACCAGAAAAAACTTCTTCCTCTCCTCTTCGTCTGCATTTTTTGATAACCTGCATCTCTTGCTGTCAATAATCAGCGAGGTAGAACTGACCACGATGGCCTCTCTGTGCACTGAAGCCAAGAATAAAGCGGCAAAATCACATTATAAGATAAAGATCAGACGTGTCATCCTGGATCCAAACTAGATTTAAAATGTGACAAATATGAGCTCGGATGACGAAGCTGGGATTTGGGACACTTCCAAGAAGGCTTCGCTAAGTCAGAGACCAGCTCAGTCACAGCCTGACGAAGTTTGCAGCCGCAAACGAAACGTTGCAGGTAAATAAAACCTTTCTGTGCTTTAAAAAGAACTAAAAGATGGAGCTCAGTCACACACTGGGGAACACTTATCGGCCACGCAAATGTTAGTTAGTGACCCAGGAGTTCAGTGGAATAAAGATCAGCTCATTCTTAGCACTGGATGTTTACCATCTAAGATTAGAACTCCTTATTTGTTCATTTTCTTGTATTAATAAGCTATATTCTGGCAAACATCAGTATAATAAATGTGTTTTTTTTTTTTTTGTTTATAAGAAAAAGAAATGGTAAAGTTTCTGAGGAGAAGAAAGCCATCCCCCAGCTCTCTCTGTTACGTGTCGTACCTGATGAAGGTCTTTTCCCAGGACAAATTCCTGGAAGTATCCCGGAGCAGCGGACGAGGCCCTGATGGCCTGCCACATCTTGTGTTTGCAGTCTCCAAGGTAGTGGGACCTCACTCCGGGCATGAGTCTGTAGTTTCTGAACACATAGGCCTTCAGAGGCGAGCCTCTGTTGACAATGGTGCTCACTGCTGACACCTAGTGGACAAAAACGGAACTTCAAAGGTAAGTTTGACTAATTGTTTCTGACGGGTTTTGACTGCGTAGGAAAAAGCTGACTTACTTTTGGGCAGTGTGGGTCTCTGGCACTCTCAATCATGCTGCCCTCACCCATTCGTTCTCTAATGACAAACAAAAAAGAAAGAAAACCAAAACCTCAAACGCTTCATACATTTTAAGCGATCTACTCCTCAAAATCAGATTTACTTGAGGATGTTTTCCCAGATTTCGCTGTCGTAGAACGCGTGGCTCCAGCCCATCTTCACCGTTCCGACGATGACGTTCTGCTTGAAGACATCCGAGCCCAGTTTCCGGTACATGTCCTCGCACTCTTCCAGGGGGATCTGAAAAATCCCCAGCATGAAAGCCAAGATGGCGCCTGACGTAAAACGAGAAAGTTTTGAATATGAGCGCTCAAAGGACGAGTGAAAACCCAAAACTCCAGCAGCACACCTGTGCTGACGCCGCAGATGTAGTCGAAGAGCTGGTGGATTGGTTTTCCTGTCAGGTCTTGTAGTTTATGAAGAGTCTGCAGAGCTAGAAGACCCCTGAGACGGAGACATGAGAGTTTTAGATTTAACAACCAGTCTGTTACTGCTGCTTTGTATGGTAGTTATTACTGAGAACATCCTGCTGTTCAGTTCCCATTTACTGAATTCCCTAAAGCTGCACCTCGTGCCTCCTCCATCTATGGACAGCACCCTGATTCCTCTGCCCTTCACCGGGTCTGTGTAGCCAACCACAGCCAGAGCTTCCCTTACAGCCGCCTGCAGAGGAAGGTCTTTGGCCTGGCGCAGTCTCAGCAGGCAAGGCACCACGCTCTCCTGAAACACACGAATCCCAGCATGCAACAGGATCAGAATTTTGTCCGACCCCAACAGTACGGCTGAGCTACGGGGTTCTTACTTTGACAGCGACGCCTCGGGTCTCGGGGAACTCCAGCAGGTGGAAACTGAGCTCCTCCACTCGAGCAGTGAGAAGTGTGACATCGGTGACCTTCTGCAGACCTTTCACCAGAGACCTGGTCCTGTTGTCTAGACTAACTCTCGCTATTATCTGTAAGACAGACAGCAGCAATAATAATAATAATACATTTTATTTAACAGCGCCTTTCAGGACACTTTACAACAATGGCGAAAAATAATAAAACAAGATAAACACAGTACAGAAATATGTAAAAACACTAAGATGCTAAAATTTAAAAAACAATGTGTTTAAAACTAAGTGGTAAAATCTTGTGTAAAGAGGTGGGTTTTGTGTTTCGATTTAAAAAGTGGGAAAGAGAGTGAGTGGTGCGTAGATCAGACAATTCCAGAGGTGGGGAGCAGAGCAGCTGAATGCTCTACTCCCCATGGTGACAAGGCACGGAGGGAGCCGAGAGTTGAGGAGCAGTAGAGGAACAAAGAGCGGACAGGAGTGGTGATGTGAATGAGATCAGATATGTAGGATGGAGCCAGGTTATGGAGAGCTTTGAATGTGATGAGCAGAATTTTGAAGCTGACTCTCTTGTTTAATGGGCAGCCAATGAAGTTGTTGCAGGATGGGGGTGATGTGATGAGATAATGGGAGTCCTAGTGATGGCACGTGCTGCAGCATTCTGGAGAAGATGCAGTTAATGGAGGCATTTACTTGGGAGACCAAAAGAGAAGTGAGTTGCAACAATCAGTCCTGGATGTGACGAGGCTGTGGACGAGGATGGCAGTGGTGGAGGGAGTAAGTGATGGACGGAGACGGGAGATGTTACGCAAGTGAAAATAAGCAGACCGGGTAATATTGTTGATGTGAGATTGAAAAGAAAGTGTGCTGTCGAGGATGACACCCCGACTCTTAACATGAGGGGAGGGAGTAACTGCTGAGTTATCAAGAGAGATGGGGAAACTTAGATTTGAAGAGAATATGAGGTGTGCCTACCAGGAGGACTTAAGTTTTAGAGCTGTTCAGTTTGAGGAAGTTGGAGGAGAACCAAGAAAGGATTTCTTGGAGACAGAAGGTGGAAGGTGAAGTTGAGGGTTTGGTTGAGAGGTAGAGCTGGGTGCCATCCGTGTAACAATGAAAATGAATGTTGTGTTTATGGAAAATGTGACATAGTGGAAGAAGGTAAATGATAAAAAGAAGGGGCCCCAGGACAGAGCCCTGGGGCACACCAGCAGAAACAGGAAAGAGACTGGATTTATATGGCTTCAGTTGAATGAATTGTGTTCGGCCAGAGAGGTAGGAGGTGAACCAGGCAAGAGGAATGTGAGTGATACCTATAGATGACAGTCTGCTGAGGAGAGTACTGTGGGAGATGGTGTCAAATGCTGCTGTGAGATTGAGAAGAATGAGAACGGACAATAAACCAAAGTCAGAAGCAGTGAGAAGGTCATCGGTGATTTTGAGAAGTGCTGTTTCAGTGCTGTGAAGAGGACGGAAGCCAGATTGAAATTGTTCAGAGGTTATTGGTGATAAGGTGGTCGTGAAGTTGAGAAGCAACAGATTTTTCAAGAATTTTGGAGATAAAGGGCCGATTGGAAATAGGGCATAGGTTATTGAAGTTAGTGGGGTCTAGGCCAGGTTTCTTCAGAAGAGGTGTAACTATTGCAGTTTTGAAGGTTGAAGGGACAATCACAGAGCTTAGAGAGCGATGAATAATGTTGGTTATGAGAGGAGCGAGAGAAGAGAAGCAGGTTTTAACAAGAACTGTACGGAGTGGATCGAGCTGACAGGTGGAGGGTTTGGATTTGAGGATATGTTTTGTGATGTCATTGACTGAGGGAAGGATGAAGGTGTTAAATGTAGTTGAGGGATGTGGTGAGGGAAGAGTGATGTCCACTTGGAGACAGAAGCACCGTGAGAAGCTAGATGTTGATAAATGTCAGTGATTTTTGAAACAAAAAAGGACATGAGGGAGTTACAGAAGTTAGTGGATTGCAGATAGAGGGGGAGGGAGGTTTTGTGATATTGTTCAAGAGAGAAAAAAGTGCTTTTGAATTATCCTGATTAGAGTGAATTAAACCAGAATAATAAGCAGATTTGATGAGATGGTCCTTGTAGAGCATTATATGATTGGAGTACATCAGTACAGCAATGTTAGAAAATCTGATGTTTTTCTTATTATAATCAGAATCAGTTTCCCACCTTCTCCCTTTGACTTAGCAGCTGTTGCTTCGCCTTCTCCGCCTTTTCTTCTTCACTCTCTGTCCTCTCCGTCGCCTTGTCCACAGTAGGGACACCCACATAGACAGCTGACGATGTTTCCTTGTCATCTGTGGCTCTTTTGGAATCAACTCTAAATTTAGGGACCAGAGGTGCGATGTAGCTGTCGACAAATGCCTGGACGCTGGGCCGAGGGTAGGACAGATAGTGTGTGAAGCCTTTCTTTGAGGGGGGAGTCAGCTCAGAAACAGACAGGGAGGCCGAGGCTTCAGCAGGAGGGACGTCCGCAGCTGGAATGGGCTTGTCTAATGGAGAGGTGGATGGTGCTTCTATACTCTTTGTCTCTGATGCTGGAGACAAAACAGGAATGCGGTCCGCAGTTTCCAGAGAGGATGTGTGAGGAAGAGGTTTAGTTACAGTATCCTGTTTTTGCTGCAGTTGCCTGAGCTCCCCGTCTTCTTGTATGTCCGAGCCAAAATAACTGCTGATGTGATGGGACAGGGAATTGTATGTCTCATCCAGGTTAGTAGACAGAGCTGCTGGCTGTAGAAGCTGCATCGTTTGTTTCGCCACGGTTGAGGAAGAGCCGGGGGCAGACGTAGGTACACTGGATGACTTCTTTGTGGCAACAAAAGGATTTTTGTTTATTTGCTCGTTTGAATAATCAGACTCGTCCACCACTTTGCTTTTTCCACCAACTTCTGCTTCTTCCATTGTGGTCTGAGGTGGAGAGGTGTCGCTGGAGCTTAGAGCCTCAGCTTGGATCAGACCTTTCCCAGTATGGGTGCTGTCCGCTGTGCAAATGACAGGCTTGAGCCGAGTGAACTTGGACATGAGGTCTGTGCTGCCAAAAGCCTTGGTTACACTGTTGATGGTGGACCTGAGTCGGGACATGCGTCTGATGACTCAACAGGAACATGGGTGGAGAAATAACTGAGGCAAAGGGCTTAAGCTAAAATGTTTGTTTGGATTTTTGCACCATCCATGGCAGACGCAGCTCGCTCCATTTTGGACACAAATTATCTTTACTGAATCTTTGCTGTGGATCCACTTTTCTGGGGGGAAAATGGAGCATTAATAAGATCAAATAAGCAGGGATGTTTCCTTTAAAACTGTAAGTTACACAACGTGGCCAGCAGGGGGATCTGTCTAACCTTCTTTCTGCTCTGGTAACCATGGAAACTGTGCTTCAACGCGTTCTCGGGTCACTTTTTGACCGATCTGATGAAGTTAAGATGGATACCTATACCGCGGAGTCGTCATTGCTCGTAAAAGCGTGGCTGGACAGACAAAAATCCTCTGAGAAGCAAGGAAACAACTCTAACGGAACCCAGACGGACACATTTCAGTGGATCACCTGCAGAGACTTCACCGTCGAGCTGGGCAAGGAGCAGATTAACGATTATATTCAAACATGGGGAATTCGGCCCTGTTGGCGTCACAGCGTCAACTTTCTCTACTCAACCGAGGAGACGCACGGCACCCTCTACCACTACCGGGCCCGCTTCGGCACCCCGACAGCGCGGAGACCGGTTACAAGAACAGCCTGTGTCTACTTTGCCGTAGAAGTGACTAAAAACGAGTCCCAAAGCCTTCCGGTGGAGGTCTACTTCATTGTGGAGTCAAACAGGCTTGTCCACTCCGCCGGGGAGAGCCGCGTGAGGGAGGAGTGGCTGGCGGACGTTATCGAAAACAAGACTTTGGTCCAAACAATGATGGACCTGTTTGACCAATAAAACACCGGCCAGCTCCTCTCGGGTTCTGTTCTGTTCCCGCTGTAAAACGCTTTCTGGACGCTTTACTTTTTCCTCCAATGACGAAACGTTTAAATAACGTGGAACGAAAATGACTGATAACTTGCGTCAAACATGCGAGGTTAACATTCTGTTAAACGTTGTGGTTCTAAACTGATAAATGTGTTGAATTTGTACACATCTAACATGTATTAACAAAGTGCATCCTTACCAAACAAAAAGCAGGGTGGGTTTCAGAGAATTTTCATTGATCGAGGCTTGTTGGCAAAAAATAAACAGGAAATGGAGTTTTTCTTCTTCTTCTTCTTTGGTGTAATAAAGTTAATTTGCCGCCCCCTACCGTTGTTTCTGTGGCTTAGCCACAGAATGTTTTTAGAGCAAAAATAACTGCAAAAAATACAATTATTACAACAATGAAATTTTAAAGATGGAAAAGATTCAAAAGCCACAGTTTATCTTTTATTATATCAGAAGTTAACTCTGCTAGAATTATAACAGATGATTGTGAAATACTGTAGATTTGTCATTTGAATGAACAGGCTGCAGTACTTTGTTAGAGCCACACTATGTCGCCAAAATAATGAGATCATAAAAAAAATATATATATTTTTAATTTTCTGACTAATTGTTAATAAAACGTGTAATGATAATTGTGCACCGTGCATTACCAAATGCAAAGATTAACTTCAGGATATAAAAATGAAATATGGGTTGATCTTCCATACAAGTTAAAAATACAATAAAAGGTCCCAAGTTCTAAAAATAACAGTGTAAATTACAGTCTTCAGCAAATCTGTGATCATTCACAAGCTATTCATAGTGTGTCCCCATAATGTTTCATTTGTATTTACAAACTCATTCAAACACAAATATGCCCCAAACACAAGCTAAATATGGTTTTATAATGTTGTAACAACCGTAAATAACATCCACTCACACCTAGGGACAATTAGGCATGCCAATCAAACCAGCATGCATGTTTTTGGCCTGTGGGAGGTAACCGCAGTACCTGGAGAAAACCCTTGCATGTACAAGGAGAACATGCAACAGTGCTGCGCCATCGTGCACCTCATCATTGAGTCACCTTGTAAAAAAAAACACCCCGTAGTACATCTACTGTCAATTTATTTGTATAATTATAAAGGTATCATCCACTGAAATTAATCTATATTCACAAAAAATTAAACATTTCATCCATAATAAATTCTGCATCCAAAGCATGATTTACACCAAGAGTCTTTCACTGATTACCATGCATGTCAAATGAACAGGCCATTAAAGCGATGGAAATCCTTTTCTGCTGGTGAAAATTGCTGGAGAGATTTGTGTGCTTTGTTCGGTTTGAGCATGCCTGCTGATAAACGTGTCGGCAGATGACAATAACTCTGTCACATGGCAGATCGATGCACCTGAATTTCCTGGAAAAAGGTTAATAGCCTTTTGACTAAAGTGCCTGAGGAACTTGTTCCCAATGTGAAATGTGAAGTTCTATAATGGAAACTACTTCAAAGAATAGCCTTTTTACAAAACATCTATGTAGCTTTGCAAATGTATACAGTGGTGTGAAAAGGGAATTTAAAGTAATTCTTTGAGATTTCTTGTTTTAGCTTTTCTGTCCTATTCAATAAAATCGTATTTAATAACACACAAAAAAACCTGAGTAAACACAAAAGGCTGTTTTGAAACAGTGGTTTTGTCACGTTGAGTCGGGGTTTGGACCCAAGAGGCAGAGAGAGAGAGAGAGAGAGAGAGAGAGAGAGGAGAGAGAGAGAGAGAGAGAGAGAGAGAGAGAGAGAGGAGAGAGAGAGAGAGAGAGAGAGAGAGAGAGAGAGAGAGAGAGAGAGAGAGAGATGAGAGAGAGAGAGGAGAGAGAGAGAGAGATATTAAGTCGATTATGAATGTTCCTTTATGGAGGAGGGTCGCAGCAAAATCCAGATGAAACACAAGAATCAAACTGAAAAGTCTTAGGAGGACAGGCAGCAAAAAAGAACACTGACAAGCAACAATTAACCACCTATCACAAAAGACAAGACCGGGGCTTAAATACACAGGGCTGGGTGATTGAGGGAATTGGGCACAGGTGGGACTAATTAACTGAGAGGAGAAGCAGAACCAAGCAGGGGAGGAAACCAGACCGAAAACCTGTAAAACAAAAGCTACTGAACCTAAAGAAACCTAAACACTATAGAAATAAGGGCAGAGGGGACACTAAAGATAAATAAACTAATGACCTAAAGTGTTATACAACTTTAGTTATCCATATAGAACAAAATACACTGAAAGGCTGGGGGATAATAATACCTAATCAAAGTAAATGACATAAGAAGGAGGGGAACCATGAGGGGACACAGGAGACGGGGACACGGGGGATGAGGACATGGAACGTGACATGTTTCAATGATTCAAAAAGAGCAGCATGGAAAATCAATTGTGTCCTAACCCTAAGAGCGATGCAGGTCTGACGGTAACCAGGCCTGCACGTGCGGTTACTGGAAATAACCTCAGCTTTATGAATTATAGTTAATCACATTTAAATTGTGATTTAATAAGGGCCAGATGGGTGTAGAGAGCTTTTAGCTCTTAATAAATAAAATAATCATTTGAAAACTGGGCTTTACTCAGTTTTTGAACGTTTGAATGCTGAAATAAAAAGAGGACTTATTATGTAAAACTCATCTTGTGCATCCTTTTGTGCTGTGAGTCTCTACTGCCACTTTAAACACTCCAAACAAGAAAAACATCCGTCCATCCATTTTCTGGCAGGGATTGGTTTTTAGGAATTTTGAACCTGAAACAAGCCATTTCAAAAAGTCCCCATTTGTGATGTCACAAACAAGTACAGAAACATCTCTTACGTGCAAGAGAGAGCTGCAGGTAGAGGGGCAGCAGATTGACTCTGAGCCCCTAATGGATATCGAAGCTTCTGAGCTTGTAGACACTTTGACATGTGATGTCACGTGCTCAAGGTCCAACCCCCAGCTTCTGGCTCAGGCGCAAGAAGATGGCGCTTCCTCATTGACCACCGTTATTATCTGTCAGTTCCCAATAAATCAAGCTAAATCGCAGCAAAATAAAATCTATCAGCATGGTTAACACAAGCAGGTGAAAGGACAGTGTTGTAAAATTTTACAGCTGATAAAATGTGCCAAAGATAAAGGTTAACAGCCATGAAGAGAGTTGGTTGGAGCCAAAGTTTCATAACAGAATAAAAAGGTAAAATATCTGTCCCACATTACCATTTTATTTGTAAAGCACTTTCAAATTACAGCAAGGTTGGATTACTGTTTATTACAACCACACAATTAAGCAAGACAATTCACATGCCAAATTTTTACTGTATTAAAAGTTTTAAAAAATAAAAAGATTTAAAAATCTGTTGAATCGACTGGAACACTGGGTGGGGCTCACGGGTTCTGCGTTAGCGTGGATGAGGTCCTACCTCATGTTTGGCATTTAGAGTAGCAAAGCTGAAGCTAGAATAAACTGCCATCCGGCACCTCTCAAACCAAGACGGGATAAAGGAAGGTCACTGCCACCCCCCACCCCCCCACCCGCATGTGACGTACAGGGTCGCGCATTCAGCGTCAGACGGAAGACACGTCAGATTAATGGAATTTCTTTTTCAGGACCTTTAGCTTTGATGTGACCTGTTTTTTGTCCGCTTGACGCCCGCTCAACCAGTGTTTTCACCACTCTGTCGAACAGCTGGCTGTCTCTCACCGTCTCCGTAAAAAGGCCACTAATCTGTTCGTCCGCTCGCACCGCCAAAAGCTCCATGGTCTCCGTGTCCGTCCAGTTTGCCATGTTGTAGGTGGTTGAAAGATGCTAGTGAGAGGCCATGTTTATCTGTGTTTATATCCCCTTCCGGCCGGCACTCAGCGCGCAGTATACGTCTCTAACGCGACCACCCTCTTTTGCGGGGGGCCTCCCACAGTCGCTCCAAAGGGATTAGCGGGGCTGACGCGTGTTTAGCCGTCAGAGGCGAGAGGCTCATGCGGCAATATTACTACGAGGCTAAGGGCATCAGAATCGAGTTTTATCACCTTTCCCCTTTGCTCCTTGCCACATTTACGAGACCCACAAATTCTGATTTATCACTCTGTAATGACGCGATGGTCTGTCTTATAAAAAAGGCTATGGATAGGACTTTCTCTGTTTTCCTTGGCTCTTAGGGTGCGTTCGATTTTCCTCGGAACTTGGAACTAGGAATGATGTCACACCCGAGTTAACAGCGTTCTGATTGCCGGAGACGATGAAGTTGGGATTCCAATATGGCGACGCCCTCAATAACTGCTGTTTTGTTAGCTCTCAACGAACACAGACGACTCATAAACACAAATAAAGCTCATCTTGAAAAAATATTCGAAGAGAGGCAAAGACGCTCTAAAACAACACACTTAGATTGTTCAGCTTGGAGTTGCAGGCGCTACATATAACATTGATTTTAGACACTTTTATAAGTGTGTCTTGTAAAATAAACACATTTCAATCAAAACTACTGTTGTTGATACGGAGAGCTGCCATTTTGGATCTCGAAGTCGGGGTTGTGAAAATTTTCCGAGTTTCCGACTGGGAGATCCGACTGGGGGGGGGGGGGGGGGGGGGGGGCTTTCATTTGATTATTCCTACTCGGAGGTTGGGATTTCCAAGTTCCGAGGACAAATCGAACGCACTATTAATCTTCAGGAGATGCTAAGCTTAGGTGTGTGGGGGGGGGGGGCTCATGGCTCTGTTTTGGGCCCCCTGCTGTTCTCACTCTATCTGCTACCACTGGTACTGTTGTTTAAAAAACATAACATTATCTCTATACTGACAATTAGCTGCATATGCCTGTTAAACAGGGGGCCAGAGGTAGCATGCAGCAGCTGGTGAATTGCCTGCATGATGTTACCCAATGGATGGGGTCCAACTTCCTTTCTTTAAATGAGGGAAAAACTTAAATAATAGTTTTTACTCCAAATTACTGCCAGCCACATGGATTGGACCTTTTGTCGTTGCTCCCCTACGAGAAGTCCGTGATTACGGACTTTGGTGTCAAGATAGACTCTGGTCCACGATTTGATAATCAGGTGAACTCGTTCATTTGTGTTGCTATCAGTTAAGGCGCCTATCTAATGTTAAGTCGATCTTAACAAAACAGGAGTTGAAAACTGTAGCCAATGCTTTTTTCATCTCTAGGCTATAGTACTGCAACTCCCTCTATGCTGGCTTGAGCCAGTCCTTAATGACTCGGCTCCAGCTGGTCCAAAACGCTGTTGCCAGATTTCTTTATGGAGCACGTAAGTGGGAGCATGTCACTCCCCTCCTGACAGCTTTGGACTGGCTCCTGGTGAAGAGTTGCATCTTGTTCAAAATCCTGGTCCTTGTTTTTCAATCCCTGTCTGGATCAGCGACACCATTTAGCCTCCCTGCTGACCCGTTACGTCCCTGCAAGGCTGCTACGTTTAGGTCAGAGTGACCTTTTGGTGGTACCACGATCAAACCGTAAATCTGGGGTGATCGTGCCTTTGCAGTTCTGGGTAATCGGCTTTGGAACCAACTCCCACAAGAAATCAAGCAGTCCACATCGCTGCCCGCTTTTAAAACAAGACTTAAACTGTATTTTAGATCTGTTTCTTAGTCGTTTTTATTTACATTGTAATGTTTTTGATCACTGTTTTTGTTTTCAGCTCTTTTTTTTGTTTGTTTTTAAATGATTTTACCTTTTACTATAGAGCTGTTTTATTGTGCTGCTTCTTTGCATTATGTTCAGCACCTTGGGCCCCCTTGATTGGGGGTGGGATGAGGCTTTATAAATTGAATGAATGAATGAATGAATGAATGAATGAATGAGTGAAAGGGAGGAGGCCTGTCTGACCTAAAGAGGTGATGCATTCTGGGTCTCACCACTTCAACTCTAGAGCTTATTGCTGCTAAAATCCAGTTTTCTATAGATATTTGGCCACGTAAAAAACATTTTTTGATGAAATTTTGCTTTAAAAATTCTGCCTGAATTTTTAGCCTCAAGCTCTGAAGAACACCTGTTTGAAAAAATGAACTCCACATTTGTCCATAAACAGATTCTTCTGCTTTCAAGTACCTGCGGAGAGATTATTTTGACATTGACATTTGGACATTTATTTATAGATTTCCACCACTGCCTCCTTGTCTTTACAGTCTAACCCTTAGAACTTCAATGATGTCTCCAAGTCTAATCACACACACACACACACACACACACACACACACACACACACACACACACACACACACACACACACACACACACACACACACACACACACACACACACACACACACACACACACACACACACACACACACCCTCCTCCTCTCAGCCTTCAGTGCGCCCCCAGATCAGAATGCCGCGTCAAATCTACGCCAACACGGGAAAAATCCAATGTTTTCTGAACAGGAATTGTGATTTAATTAGAAGACACGCGAGAACCTGAAGAATTCGCGCCTTAATGGAAGCCAGCAACAACCTCACTGGAGAGGCAGCGGATGAAGATGGAGTCGTGCGTTTTGCGCTCGTCAGAGTTGGAGTTCTGGGTTTGGTTTTTGTGCTCGCGACGTGCGGCAACTTTTTCTTCCTGGGCACCCTGTGGAAGAGGAGAAAGAGAAACACAAGGACCCACCTGTTCCTCCTGCATCTGTGCCTGGCGGATTTGGTGGTCGCCTTCTTCCAAGTTCTACCGCAGCTCTCCATTGAGATTACGCGCAGGTTCCGTGGCTCGGACTTCCTCTGCCGCACCGTCAAGTACCTGCAGGTGGTTGGGATGTTTGCCTCCGCCTACATGATTGTGGCCATGGCCATAGACCGGTACCACGCAGTGTGCATGCCCATGGTTTCGTTCTTGGAAGGCTCGTGTAGGAGGTACATCTCCATAGGCGCAGCGTGGCTGATCTCTCTCCTCTTCAGCTCTCCGCAGCTATTCATCTTCTCTCTCCGGGAGGTGGAGGTGAACCAGTACGACTGCTGGGCCACGTTCATCGAGCCGTGGGGGAGCAGGATCTACATCAGTTGGATCACTCTGGCAGTGTTTGCCTTGCCTGCTGTTATCCTGCTCTTTTGCCAAATGAGAATATGCACAACGATCTACTTCAACATGAAGACGAAGGCTCTGCAGTCAGGGCGCGCGGGCTCGAAGGGCATCTCCAACGCCATGCTCAAGACCCTGAAGATGACTTTTGTGATTATAATGGCATACACTTTGTGCTGGAGCCCATTCTTTGTTGTACAGTTGTGGTCAGCATGGAGCCCCGGCAGTGCACCAACACAAGGTTGGTGTGCAAACTGGACATTTTTATTTTAAAAATGTGATTTCACACAATTTCTTTTCTGTTTTTTCTGTCTCACAGGTCCAGTTTTTTCAATCATCATGCTGCTTGCCAGTCTCAACAGCTGCACCAACCCTTGGATATACCTGTACTACAGCTGAAGAGGATGTGGACATAACCAGAAAAGGACAAATTGTCTACAAAGCCCCTAAATTTTGTTTATAAACAAAACTTTTTACCTTGAAGTCAGTGGTGATATGGGGTGCCGAATGTAAAGCAATGGATTAAAAACTTGGTAGATATTTTACACACAATTTCAAATAGTAATGTTAAATTTAAATATTTAGAAACAAATTTAGGTTAACCAAATATAAATATTTGAAGTTAAATTTAAAATTAAATGTGTATCCCCTTCATCTACATGTTTAAATTAAACAAAACTATAAATTCATATTTAACTTTAAACTTAGACCTAAATGTGTGTTGCTAAATCTAAATATTGAAATTTTTGTTTAGATGTGATGATTTTAAACCAAATATTTCTTAAAAGGGAAGTAGCCTATCAAAATAAAAGCATGGTGAGATTATGAGAGCCAGTTTAAAAATGGAACATTTATCAGTGTGCATGAAAAGGAGGGAAGATTTTAAAGTATTACCTTAAAATGTTGATTAGTTTGATAACATTCAACATTTTAACACCAAAATTATTTTTCACATTCAGCTTCTCCTAACAATAAAATTGGGGTTTGTATTTTTAATATTAATTTTCCAGCAGGATTATACATTAAAATGTTAATATTCTTGATGTATATATATAAAAAACAATAAATGTAAAAATAGAAATTTTTTACACAAATCTAAATTTATAAAGTTAAATCTAAATATTTACCATCCTAATTTGGCTGCTTTGGGAAAAAAATCAGAAGTGCAACACAGAACAGTGTTTTTAAAAGAAAGCGTTACAATCTTTATAACGTAGTTAATATATGGATTTTATTGCTGGTTAAAGGAGCAATATGTAAGAAATTTACAGTGAATGCATCACAAAGCAGTCTAACGTCTCATTCATGTTGGAAGGAAGGTTACGTTGAAAAAGATTTCATTCTCAGCTGGCTGGACAGTTGTCAGTTTTTCTCCATACTTTTTTTTTTGAAAGAAGTGTCAGTGAACTTGTGAGGTTTCCGTGTCTCCGGAGAGCTAACGCTGCAGTGCAAGCATTTGTAATTCAACATCAGCATGCAATAAGCTCCAGAGCAACAAGAGTGACCCAGAAGTCATTTCTTGTACCCCCAAGAAGCCATGGCATCTTTTTGTTTTATTCAAATACTGGGTGAAGAAGGTTAGAGGCTAATGTTGAGCTAACAATGCTAATGGTGAATTAAAAGCAATTAGTCGGATCTAACATCATCTCAAGCTACTTTCAGAATCACCAACAACTCAATTTTTACTGTGAAATTTGTGTGTGAAGTGAATCACGAGTCAATTGTGGTGATTTACTTCCTTTAATGACTCGTTCAGAACCACAACAGAAAGCTAACAGCAAACAAGCACACTTCCTGTATTGCTGGTCAATAACAGGGCTTGTGATCACACGCATGGACGTAATTTTTTCCAAAGTCAAGTTTTCACCCCTGCACTTTTTACCATGCAAAAACAATATTACGCTATATTAAATTAACACTGGTTGAGCTCTAGGACCAAGCAGAAAACAACCGTTTGTGTTGAAGCCTGTTTCCCATTAGAACATACAAGATATCCCCCCCCCCCATCCCCCCCACTTCTAAAGTGAAAATTACATCCATGATCACACGTGATTACGCATAGCATTCTGGGATGTGCGCGGGCACGTTGGAAGGTTGATGAGTGAAACACACCGTGAAACAAGCAGTACTGTCGCAGAGAAGAAGTGGATTTTGGCGAAAGAAAGTGTTAAACAACATTATGAAATCCCAAAAAGGATGTAGAATATACTTAGGGATGGGTACCTTTGACATTTGAATCGATCCGGTACTAATTCCCGGTACCTACGAATCGATACCGGTACTTAACGGTACCAATTTTCGATACTTTTGAGTGTTTATTATTTTAAATCTCTTTTATAATTAAATATTTTTTCAATATATAACAATATTTGATGAATATCACGATAAATAACATTCAACTGTTTGCATTTTAACATCGTCCTTGTAGTTTTATAAGCTGATGATTAAACTGAAGCAAACATCTTTACTGTGAACTAAATTTACTGTGTATCTTCATTGCTTTTGCCGTCTTTTTTCATTTGATTTTTCCTACTGGGAAGTTAGAATTTCCGAGGAGAAAGCGAACGCACCATTAGCTGATAACAATGGTAGCAATGGAAGCTAACATACCAAGCTAACGTTATCTTAAACAGTTTATTTAGCTGCTGGAGCAGATTAAAACGACGATGCCTCACACTTAGATCGTTGTCACTGGTTTCATCTTCACCCGTCACATTTAGTAAAGTGAAGCCAAACTTTAGAGCGCGTTCATGTTCTTCTAGTCGGGAATTCGGAGTTCCGAGGAGAAAGCGAACGCACCATTAGCAAAACGGAAGCTAACATATCAAGCTAATAATATTTTCCTACCGGAGAAGATTAAGATGAGGATGTCTCACTTAGATCGTTGTCGCTGGTTTCATCATCACCCAGTTACCCATCACATTTAGTGAAGTGGACCCAAGCTTTAGCCTGCGTTCTTTCTGCCATGCTGCTCTGTTTACAACTGGTTCGCAGCGAGCGACAACATAACGCTCTTGCGCATGCGCAGCTGTCTTGGCAAGTTCTCGTTATGATGGACGGGTACCGAAACGAGGCACCGTTTGAAATGACGTGAATCGGTGCTCAGTCGGTACTATGGAATTCGGTCGGTACCTTAAAAAGTACCGAATTCGGTACCCATCCCTATACAGGATAGGTTAAATAAAGACGTTGAGGACCGGTATGTGGACAAAATCAGCATTAAAAATGGTTTTGATCCACATGAGACAAAAGACCGGAGCACCGATGACGTGTTTTTGCCGCCGCAAATCTGCATAACGAACATTTTCTGCTTTCTTGTTTGTACTGTAAAACCACTCTTGTCTGTAGTTTTGTATTGTCTACCAGGCTCTTACTCTGAGTTTTTGGGTCAGATCTCTGATTTTGTGTCTGATTTGGTGCTAAATACTGATAAGGTCATTGTAGTGGGGGATTTTAACATTCGTGTGGACATTGAAAATGATTGCCTCAATGTTGACTCAATTGGTTTTACCCAAATAATACATAGCTCTACCCACTCCTGCCATCATACATTAGACCTTGTGCTGACTTATGGCATAGAGTGTGAGGAAATAACAATATTTCCACATAATCCAGTCCTCTCTGACCAACTTTTGATAACCTTTGAGTTCTTTATAACAAAGTTCTTGAGACATAAAAGTAAATTTCACTATAGCCGGTCTCTATCTGACAACGCTGTTGCATCTTTTAAATCAACTGTTCCATCTTTACTATCTTCAGCATCTCAGAGGAACGTAGTAGAGGACAATATTTTTATTTCTAGCCCTTCACAAATTGATGCTTTAGTTCATAATGTTACTTCCTCTTTACGTGTGGCATTAGATGATGTTGCCCCTTTAAAAAAGAAGGTAATTAGGGACAAGAAGTTGGCTCCCTGGTTTATTTCTCATTTATGAACTTTAAAACAAAACTCTAGAAAATTGGAGACAACATGGCGCTCTACACACCAGGAGGAGTCCTACTTATCCTGGAAAAATAGTCTCGTGCTTTATAAAAATAAGCTTCAACAGGCTAGAACTGCTTATTTTTCATCACTAATTGAAGAGAATAAGAATAATCCAAAATGTATTTTCAGTACAGTTGCCAAACTTACACAGAATCGTCCTCGTTGTCGTCGTTGTCTTCCTCCGCTTATCCGGGTCCGGGTCGCGGGGGCAGCATCCCAACTAGGGAGTTCCAGACTGTCCTCTCCCCGGCCTTCTCCACCAGCTCCTCCGGCAGGACCCCGAGGCGTTCCCGGACCAGATTGGAGATGTAACCTCTCCAACGTGTCCTGGGTCGACCCGGGACATGCCCGAAACACCTCCCCAGGGAGGCGTCCAGGAGGCATCCTGACCAGATGCCCAAACCACCTCAACTGGCTCCTTTCGATCCGGAGGAGCAGCGGTTCTACTCCGAGTCCCTCCCGAATGTCTGAGCTCCTCACCCTATCTCTAAGGCTGAGCCCGGCCACCCTACGGAGGAAACTCATTTCGACCGCCTTTATCCGCGATCTTGTACTTTCGGTCATTACCCAAAGCTCATGACCATAGGTGAGGATTGGGACGTAGATCGACCGGTAAATCGAGAGCCTGGCTTTCTGGCTCAGCTCCCTCTTCACCACGACAGATCGGCTCAGCGTTCGCATCACTGCAGATGCCGAACCAATCCGCCTGTCGATCTCCCGATCCCTCCTACCCTCACTCGTGAACAAGACCCCGAGATACTTAAACTCCTCCACTTAAGGTAGGGCCTCTCTCCTGACCCGGATTTGGCAAGCCACCCTTTTCCGGTCGAGAACCATGGTCTCAGATTTGGAGGTGCTGATCCTCATCCCAGCCGCTTTACACTCGGCCGTGAACCTACCCAGCAAGAGCTGAAGGTCAGAGCTGGATGAAGCTAGGAGGACCACATCATCCGCAAAAAGCAGAGACGAGATTCTCCTGCCACCAAACTCGACACACTCCACACCACGGCTGCGCCTAGAAATTCTGTCCATAAAGGTAATGAACAGAACCGGTGACAAAGGGCAGCCCTGGCAGAGTCCAACCCTCAGCGGGAACAGGTCCGACTTACTACCGGCTATGCGGGCCAAACTCACGCTCCTCTGGTAAAGGGACTGAATGGCCCTTAACAGAAACCACCCACCCCATACTCCTGGAGCGTCCCCCACAGGGTGCCCCTGGGGACACGGCCATAAGCCTACTCCAAATCCACAAAACACGTGTGGATTGGTTGGGCAAACTCCCATGCCCCGTCCATCTCCCTTGCAAGGGTATAGAGCTGGTTCACAGTTCTACGGCCAGGATGAAAACCACATTGCTCCTCCTCAATCTGAGATTCAATTATCGATCGGACCCTCCTCTCCAGTACCTTGGAGTAGACCTTTCCAGGGAGGCTGAGGAGTGTGATCCCCCTATAGTTGGAACACACCCTCAGGTCACCCTTCTTAAAGATGAGGACCACCACCCCGGTCTGCCCCTCCACAGGAACTGCCCCCGATGACCACGCAATGTTGCAGAGACGTGTCAACCATGACAGCCCTACAACATCCATAGCCTATTCCCTTAGCCCTCAACAGTAATGACTTTATGGGATTTTTCACAAGTAAAATTAATTCTATTAGAAACAAAATCATTAGCATCCTCCCTAATGCGTTTTCTTCTTCCTCAGTAAGTGAGGCAGCATCTGAGGTAACTGTAGAATCTTATCTGTGTTTGAACCGTTTTGATCCAGTTGAGCTTTCAGAGTTATCAAAAATATTAGCTTCATCTAAACCTTCAACTTGCATTTTAGATCAAATCCCAATCAAATTATTTAAAGATGCATTTCCTTTGTTTACTGCCCCCATTCTAGATATAATCCATTAATCCTTAGTAAATAGATACGTACCACAGGATTTTAAGGTTGCTGAAATCAAACCTTTACTTAAGAAGCCTTCTCTAGATCCAAATGACCCAAAGAATTATAGACCAACATCTAACCTTCAATTTTTATCCAAAGTCTTTGAGAAAATAGTGGCCATCCAAGTATGTGAGCATTTAAACACTAATGATCTGTTTGAGGAATTTCAGTCTGATTTTAGAGAGTATAGAGCTCCGGACCCCACGTGACTCTCAGTTAGTAGACGCCATATTGGCAGGTAAAAGAAGCTAAACAAACACGGATCGTAAACATGAACGTGAACGGGATCGGCTTGGATTTTACTTTGTCGGAGTTTACTTCACACTTTAAAACCGAAGAAATCACTTTATATAGTCAGAAATTAAATAGACTAAACATCTCCGACCCTTACCTTGCCCCTGGGATACTTTTTAAAAATGCCAGAAGCTGTCGAAGCAGACTTCTTACCGGACCTGGCCAGGGAACTCCTTGGGATTTACCCGGAGGAGCTGGCTCAGGTGGCTGGGGAGAGGGAAGTCTGGGCCTCTCGACGCTACTGCCCCCACAAAACGATTCCGGATACGCGGGTGAAAATGGATGGACAAATAACAGAGTAAGTAGTTTAAAAAGAGTGCTGTGCTGTTTGAATGTATAAACTGAACGCCAAGAGAAATCACTAGTTTGATTGTTTTCCGTGAAAAAAATAAGTCAGGCAGGAGCGTCTCAGGATTTGTCTGAGATCTGTCTCGGTGAGACAGATAATAGCAATCCAAAGTGCTTTTTATGTGTGATCTGACAATTGATCAACCATTGCTTAAAAATTAAATACAGCTTAGCCGGTTAATTGCTGTGATCATAAAACACGTAAACGGCAGCACGCAGAACTCACGAGGCAACGTTTTACGTGATGTTTACTTGTTACTATGAGTAATAAGACAGAAAAAGCCATGCCAAAATAAGTTTAGGAAGCTCACTAACAATTATAATAAAAGCATTTAAAATAAATACCATACACAGTTGAGGAAACGTTGGTTTAAGAACCTGATATGAAGCGGTCGCTGCATAAGCGAAAACTTTTACTCTCGGGATACCACAGTTTCATTTAAGCCCGGTCACTAGCGCATTTTATTACAATCATCCAACATTTGCGGCGCTCCGGATCTTGGGGAATCCTGTAGATGGCTCATTCCTTATGTCGTCCGTGTCTGTTCTGCATCCTGGGGCACAACAGGAATCTACCATATTTCCTGTCTGATTGAGTTTTCTGACAATAACAAATAGTCCAGCTGCCGGCTTCTACCTGCCAATATGGCGCCATTTCGATTTAAACTGTTGCATGCCGGGAGAAGTGACGTCAACTCCCGGAGCTCTATTACAGCACTGAAACTGCGTTAGTGAAAGTTACAAATGATATTCTCATGGCATCAGATAAGAATCTTGTGTCTGTTCTAGTCTTGTTAGATCTCAGTGCTGCTTTTGACACAGTTGATCACAATGTTCTTTTAGAAAGACTTGAACATGTTGTAGGGATCAAAGGAACAGTGCTAGGCGGTTTAAATCCTTCCTGTCTGACAGATATAATTTTGTAAACGTACATGACAAATCTTCTTCAAACTCCAGGGTTACTTGTGGAGTGCCACAGGGTTCGGTGCTTGGACCAATTCTTTTTAACTATATATGCTCCCAATTGTTAAAATAATTAGACAGCATGAGATAAACTTCCACTGTTATGCTGACGATACTCAGTTATATCTTTCCATTAACCCTGATTAACCTAATCGGTTAGGTAGATTACAGGCTTGTCTTGAAGACATAAAAAATTGGATGACTCAAAACTTTTTGCTTTTAAATCAAGACAAGACTGAAGTTCTCATCATTGGACCTGAAATTCAGAAAAGGAAATTGCTTAGTCAATCACCTGACCTGAATGGCATTAAATTAGTCTCCGAGAACAAAGTAAGGAACCTTGGTGTTATCTTGTCATCTAGAATCTTCTGGCACTGATCTGTAAGTGACAACAGCCATAAAACTCATGGAACGGGAGTGAGAGAGTGATTTTATTGCTTAGGAAAATGGGCTGCAGTAACCAAATGTGACCACAGGATGCCATTCTTACATATTGCGCCTTTAATGTGAGAATAAACAGTTATTATCAAGATACAAACAATTTTTATTCTAAACACAAATAAAATGGGCATTGGTTACAATTAATGCCATGTCTGAAATTTAAAGTATTTTCAGAAATTGTAAAAGGTCTAAATAATTCCACATCTACACTCAATAAACCCAAAAAAGGGTAGTTTTAGCAGCGATCCATTTCTTTGCAACAGTCTTTTTATTTTCCAAATTCAAGCACTTTTCAAAACGAGTTCATTGAAATCAAATTCCAGCCTTCTAATTTTAGAGATGCAGTCTGAAACGACCAAAAGTTATGATAAAACTTATAATGCAAGTTTTTTTTATCATCTAAGAAACTGAGCGATGTGCTTTCCTTATTTGTGGCACTTATTGATTGCCTGCAGGCATATTCCTTTGCAAGAATAATCAGATTACTGGTCTGTGATGATGATTTGTTTTTCCACCATAACACAAATTAAGACAATCTCATTAGTAATTTAGAACACAATTTTTCTACATCCTTTCTGTTGCGTTGTGTTATTGTTTCCCTACGACACACATCACCTCAGGGCACCCTGGAGTCACATTCCAAAGCCTCGCATATGTAAAACACAGTTTTCCTCTTCAGATCTCACTTATTTTAATTTTCACATGCAGAGAAGCGTATAATGTGTCATCGTGAATTCATACTCCCTTGAGAATGAACACCTACGTGCAGAATATGTGAAAGCTCAATGAGTGAATCATTCTAGAATCGTTCATGCTTATTTTTATCCTAACTAAAACATAAAACGTGGCCAGAGAAACCAGAGAGCCTGTGGCATTTTAACATCTTTTTTTATTGTAGATCTGGAAAGCTGCTTCAAATCAGATTATGTGTCTCATGAGGCCAAAATGCTTGGGTGACTAAGTCAGAGCCTAAGGGTGGAGAGGTGTGAGATAAAAACCTGGTGCAATTTGGGTTCACCTCTTTTAGGGATTTAAAAGAAAATAGGATAAATCAAAGAGCAGCATTCTCGGGTGCATGCATGCTGTAATAAATATGCACTCGGTGCAACCGCACTCTGCAGCAATGTCTTTATTGCTATAATTTACAGCTTTTTTGCACAAAATTGCATGAATGTATGGATGTTTTTGACTATGATTAACAAGACTAAAATTTTCTTGTTATTGTTTAAAAATAAAAAAAGGAAATTGACTAAAAACAAAATAATTGTACATGTTTTATGGCATATCTTTCAAGTTTTTCATTGATAATTCCTAATTCTATTTTTGCAATGAATCTATAAATTATTTTTGCCAAACTTAGACCACCAGAAGGCTTTCCTGTGGTAATCCATGCATGGAGAACACGTCTAGCTGCACAGCCAAGGTTTTCCAAGTCTTCAGACCTCAGCCTCTGGTTCACTGCTTCTGCCTAATAAAATAGTAAATGGAGGAAGCAGCTGCCTGAAAATGCTTTGCCGTCTTCTAACAGCCTCATCATGGTTTGGGGTTGCTGGTCATTGACATTTCAAAGATGTTGAGCAGATGGGAGCCACTGACTGCTGATTATCGGGATGAAGATGAGGCAGAGTCTTTATAGCGCTTTGATAAACACCAGGGCATGAGATGGTGGTAAAAAGTGAACCGAGAGCAAACATTTCCTGGAATGACTTCATGTGGCTTTGGTGGACCAGAGCTTCACCTGCTGCAGAATTGCTCGTGGGGTGTTGGGAGGTTGGTTGTCCAGTTTACAAGCAAAGATTCTGGGTCAGTCTTGGTTCTGGTTGGGTCCTGCCCTTTGTCTCCGATCCGTTTTGTGGTTTTTAAGGACGGTATCTCATGGTGCTGTCATGGAAAAGCGTTTTTGGTTTGTGAATGTCAGGGTCAGATGATGTGGTTCTGCTGGTGTCTTCTCGCCATGACCTTCTGCGTGCACTGGGATGGGTCATGGCTGAGGGTGATGCAGCCAAGATCAGTCTTGTTTCTGCAAGTCTGAGGCTATGATACTTTACCGGGACAAGTGGGATGCTCCCTTCGGGTTGGAGTCGGTCTCTGGCTCAAGTGAGTGTCTATCTCTAAACTGATGAATTGGGGCATTATCTGCAGAAATTGGGGCATTTCTGTAGTAGAGGAAATAGCTGTAATTATGCTCTGTCTACGTTCCAACCAAGCCCCCACAATGCGGGACAGAAATTGAGGCCAAGGCAGAAATAAAATAAATTGCAGTTCCACCCTCATCCGCTGGGGGCTGGCGTCAGAAACAAACCATTCCTCATTGACTCCCATGTTAAAAATACCAATTTCACAGCAGAAATAAACATGTTTACAGCCTGGTACCAAAACATGTTTTTGGTTTAAATTATCTAGTTTACACTCATGACAACTCTGAGGGGGGTGAATTTTTTTCTCACTCTTCTGTTTAAGTGTATTAAAAGCCTAAAATTCTGGATAATTAATGAGCATCAGAGCCACGTGACCACAGAGCTAGCTCGTGGAAAGGCCTCAGCCTGAAAACTGTCCCATCATTTTCAGTCTCTCAACTTAGACCATTAGTTGTAGCGTTTGTGCGTTCTTTTTTGGATATTATTTGTGCAATTGTTGGACAAAATGACTTGCTGTGGCATTAATTGCACTAATAGATCGTCCAAGGAGTCTCAACTTAAGTAAGTAAAATTATATTTATGTATTGTAGGTCACTGCCGAGCTGAGCTTGGATTTTAACATGTACTGTTTAACCATGAAATTTAAATGTAATAGGGTAAAACCCAGTGCATTTAACATAATGCTGCACTTTAGAAAATGGGTTGAAATATAACATGTTGGTGGAGCTGGGTTCCGACTATCGGCTTGTGGAGCTCTCAGGAGACCGATGTTTTCCACCCGTTCTCCCCTCCCCGCAGCTCGGCGCATCTCTGTCTGATCGCGGCTTCTGTCTGCTGCGCGGGCTGCCGGCTTGTGGAGCTCTGGGATGGAAACCTTTCCACTCGGTTCTCCCCAGCGGCAGCTCGGCGCATCTCAGATCGCAGCGGCGCTCGTCTGCTGTGCGGCTGCCGGCTTGTGGAGGTCTCGGAGACCTCTGTGTTCCACCCAGTTTTACCCAGCGGTCTGATCTCAGCTCTACCTAGAGGTGAGGCGCCGAATCACACTAGGGAAGCTAGCAGCAAAGTAAAGTCAGCAGATGATTCAGGCATCATGGCCAGATTGGAGGTTTTCTGAGCTTTGGGAGGAAACCCTGGGTCAGACCCAGAACTCTCCTGACTGGGAATGCCTTGGGATCCCCCAGGAGGAGATGTGGTGCTACTGGGGAAAGGAAATGCCTGAGCTTCTGGATCTGTTACCTCTACTTCCTGAGCTTGAATAAAAATGCAAAGAGATCATTTTCATCTTGAGCTTGCTAAATCCCAGAACAAATACTTCAAATGTAACAAGATTTCTTTCTCCAGTGAGTGCCTGTGCCACTGAGGTCAACAGACACGAAGCAGCTGCTCCATTAAAAGAAATATTCCCCGGAGCTCTAAAACTAAAAGGAAATAATCGTGCAATTAAGCCCAATCAAACAACCATAATGCACTAAAACAGCAGGGAGGTCACAGATTAACAAGTAACCTTTTTACTTTGAGTCACAACGAATCATCTAAGTAGATTCATAACTATTCAGATTTTAATAGTAGAACAGGACACACGAGGGCCATTTTCACACAGTGACAACGTACAAATAAAGCTGTAAAAGGACCATATCATTAAATTAAACAAGATGAAGGAAAAACAAAAGCACTAATTAGATTGGAAGTAGCAAAGAAGTACAATTAATGTGCATTATTAAAGAGACAATGTGTTGTTTTTACCATTAAGTTCTGGGAACATCCTGTTGTTGAAAATGAATGAAATGTTGCCCAGTTGTTGAAAATATTGGCAGCTTCATAACATCTAACCATAAAAATCAGGTCTAAAATATATGCGAGTGGGTCTCAGTACGCGCACTGCACCCTGCAGTCTTCAGCAAAGTGCACTTGGAGAAAGTGCACAGTAGGGTTTGAGTTCGTAGTACACAAGTGAGCAAATAATTGCTGAATTGAGACAGGGAGCATTGCGTCATCGATCACAACGCATGCCAGGATGCTGGTCGCTGTGAAACTTCTTTCAAAAACCTTTATTAACAACTTTCAAACAAACAACAAAGCACTTATACATACTTTCAGAAAAGGAACTTGAGACATTTCTCCTGCAGCAATGACTTGTGGGTAATACCCTTGCCCGAGGTCCGCATCGCTGCAGACGTTAGTAAAGTGCAGATTAAGGGTGCAATGGGGGCGTGGTCAACTTCCGCACTTGAAAATCGGGACACCCTACGCACTCGCACCCCTGGCCGGGAACGTGCAGTTGAAGGGCACAAGTGTGAGTATTGGGATTGGGCCCCAAGTCTCTGGGCGACACCATATTAGATGCCATGTTTCCTTCTATGAGAGCCCATGAGGACAAAATTCATTTACTGACTTGAAACAAACTGTTACAAATCTTTCTCCATTCATAAATGTTGTTTTACACATTTACCTCTTCTCTTCTCATGCATACAAATGTGGAATGACCTTCCAAGCACTACAAGAACAGGAGCTTCCTTTTCAACTTTCAAGAAACTCCGGAAGACCCTGCTCTTCAGAGAGCATCTTCTAAACTAGCACCCTCCCTGCACCCGTCCCCCCTCTCTACTGTCCACTCCTTGTTCCCTCCTCTCCATGATTCATCATGCTGCCTCACTGCCAACTACGACTGACTGGAAATTATTTGTTGTTGTTAGCCTCATGGGCAACATGCCGATTATAACTTGTAAGTCACTTTGAACAAAAGCGTCTGCTAAATACATAAACACAAATGAAATACTGCTTTGAATGAGTGCAAATATGTTTTTAAAAGTTTTATTGAACGTTTAAGAATCCTGCAGCAGATTTAAAATTTCTCAGACCTTTTTAGAATCCTGCTGCGGGCATCCTTTATCTAATAAGTCATAGTGCTTTATTAGGCACTGCATTGTACTATATCCCATCAAATCCTTTCCAGTAAAGCACAGAAAATGCTAACAGTACCATCTGGTGGACATAATTGGATATGCATTTGAAGTGACTTAATTGTGAGTGTAGATTTTGAGCTTCATAAGTTTGTGCAAGTACACATTTAGCAATTTCATTTATAAAATCAGAGCAAAACAGATGATATATAATCCTCCAGTAATTTCTGTTTTTCCTTAAAAACAGCATCGTCCCTTTTCAGGAGCGCCATCTCATTTTCCAGAGCATGGATTTTAGCCACAGTGCTCTCCTCCCGCCGATCCAGTTCCAAGATCTTTGCATGTAAGCCTAAGATCTTATTCCACAGCTCGTCTTTGTCTGTGTCCGGCCTGCAGTACGAGTGCTCGTCAAGCCGAGCGTGTTCCTCGTCCCCGAATCGTGTTTCTACCACACAACAGTCTGTGTTCTCCTTCAACGTTTCCAAAGGAACCAATTTTAAAGTCTGTCCAAGCGCTGCCTGAGGAGAAGCAGCATCTACTTCTGCCACTCCATTGGATAAAGCACCCAGCGTTTCACAACCCAACACGGAAAGAAAGGAGTCACCCTGCTCTTCAGGCTGGGTTCCAGCATGTATTGACCTTCCAATGTCGCCCGCTATCTCACAAGGAGTACTTTGTGTCTCTGAGAGGATTGACTCATGAGCAGAAACCGATTCTGGTGCCACCGGGAGGTCTGACGTCAGTTCTGAGTATCCTGTGACAGTCGTGTTTTCTGTGTTTAGCTGGATTTGTTTACATATTTGTCTCAAAATGAGGGGCCTCTTTCTGGGAGGAGACGCTTTAGGCTCTCTGTCAGAATCCGAAGTGCTGGGTTTGGTGTTTAAGCTTCTTTTAGAGGCAGCTGATATTTTATCACCATCCTGAGTGGAATAAAAAAAGATAAACTTCAATAAATACATTTAATAATTGTTGGATAAATTATGCATAGTAAATGCTTACAGAAACTGTGTAGATTTAACGTGTATAATGCAACAAATACTACAAAATTAAGTTATGAGCATCGATTCATAAAGAAATAAACATTTTACATCTACTGGAGGAAATATGGTGGGAATGGCTGTACTCTTCAGGTAACGGATTCCCCATCGGATGTCAAAGCAGTCTTCTGTAAAGTGTTCATTGCAGAGATACTGATGTCGACTCGGAGTCCACTCCTCCCGCCTCATGTTGTCCACCCACTTCTGAAGCCTCTGCTTGTCTTGCAAAGGAAACCTCCAAAGGCAGAGAAGAAAATTACCTTTTAAACACACACAGCAATCGCAAAGACACGAAAGTCTTATTTTAAAACTGACACATAGGTACAAAATACCACATTATTTTTCAGTTTAACACTGAATGGAAGCAGAGTCACAGCTGTAGAAGAGTAGGAAACGTACGGGTAGAAGCTAATTCTCTTATTTTCTGGCATATTGCTTATTGTCTTCCATGCAGTCCCCCCGCGGTTTCGGCAAACTTTCACAGCGCAGTAACGAGGCATATCTGCTGTGAATAACACATGAAAACACTACAAACGTTTGTAAACACGACAACCCTCCCAAAAATTTACTTCCGGGTTACAAACGTAAAACGGAGGTGACGTCTCTCTAACCTTTTTTTTAATCGAAAATAATCATATGACAAAATGGATAAATATTTTTTACGACATTGACTCGCAAAATATGTAAAACGATGACTTATACAAGTTTAAACTTATTTATTATTTTAATTTCAAGTGATATAAAAAAGCATGCTGTTTTTTATTAAACAACACCTTTCATCTTAAAACGTCTTGAATTGTATTACAAATATAAACTTTATAGTAAAACTTTCAGTGTATATTGTGTTATTATGTTTATTTCATATATATTTGAAGCCAAAAACAACTTATAAAACATCGTGAAGCGAAGACAGAAGTAAGTGCCGATCACTCTCTTGTTTCGTTCAAACTCTTTACGAACTCAGTCCTCCACGTGCGCACAGTTTCACCCAATCACAGTGCTCGGAGTCATTGTATTAGGAAATGAACCAATAGGAATGCGAGTCGTGGTGTTACAGCTCTGGAATGCTACTCGTCAACATCTAGCTTTCGTTTCACCATCAGCTGGAGCTGTTGGCGATTGACCGAGAATCCCTGAGGCTGTTTGTCAGCTCATCTGCAGGTAATCTTTATTTTTTTTAACTAAGCATGAACGTTATGTGTCTTTAGTGGTTTATTTAAAACCTGAAATAGATAAAAAATGTTACAATATGATCTATCCCTGCTTAATTTATGGAAGCTTCTAGTTTGTTCCACCAAGCTGGAGAGTTGTGAATTTGTCCAGGCTAACGCCTTCTTTTTAGGTTACTTTGCTATTTATTCTTCTTAAAACTAAACTTATATATATATATTTTTATTAATTTTAATACCACAAGAGGCTATTTTAACTCGTTCTGGTGTCTTCACAGCTGAAAACGTGTCAAACCATCAATATGGCCACAGCACAGTCGATGCTACTGCTAGCTGTTCATGTTCTACTCATCTCGGAGTTCATTCTGGCCAAGAGAGACTACTATGAGATCCTGGGGGTCCCCAGAGATGCCACCGACCGTCAGATCAAAAAGGCTTTCCATAAACTGGCCCTGAAGCATCACCCAGACAGAAACAAGGACCCGGGGGCAGAGGCAAAGTTCAGAGAAATAGCAGAGGGTAGGTGACTCGTTATGTCCTCCTATGTTGTCATGGAAGAACTATTGTATTTACCTATGCATACGTCATAGTAACATTTACGCATTTTGTTAAGATTTTCCAAATATTTGCCCCAAAAAACAAATGACTGCTTATCAAGCTGTTGAGTTCCAATTTTCAGATTAAATCTGTTTTAAAAACACAATTTAAGGAACTAAAATCAATTAGATCAGATTTGATAAATTTAGTCTTTTGGCAGACATTTTTTGGGTTTTTGTTTTCATCCAACAAACTTTATGATCTTGTATAATCACGAGTTTAAAGCTGTAAGTTTAGGAATGTCATTTTCAAGTGAATTTCCCCCACTGCGGGATTAATAAAGTCTATCCTATTCCCTTTCAGCTTACGAGGCGTTGTCGGATGACAAGAGGCGGAGGGAGTATGACCAGTTTGGCCACGACGCATCGTCAGGGGAGGGCCATGGAGGCGGCAACGAAAACTACAACTTCAGACAGCACTACCAGTCCTTCAACTTTGATGACATTTTCAAAGACTTTGACTCCTATGGTCAACATCATCAACACCAGTTCCACTCCCAGGATCAGGCACACCAGAAGAGACACTTTGACAGCCACTTCCAGGCTCACCGGGAGGCCATGAACAGGCAGAGAAAGGGCTACCAGCAGGGGGCCTTCGGCAGCGGACTGTTTGATGACATGTTTGAGGACTTGGAGAAAATGTTCTCCTTTAACACGCACACCTCCAGGACTGAGAACAGATTCCAGGGTGCAGTGAAGCAGCACTGCAGGACAGTGACTCAGCGGAGGGGGAACATGGTGACTACCTTCACCGAATGCTCCTGAGGCTGCAGAAAAACGGCACACTTAGGAGAGGAGCCACTCGAGACACAGCAGGGCTTTATTTTCTTTACTTGCTGTTTTGGAATAAAATGCTAATTTATTACCTTTTTTTTTGGCGAAGAGAAAGTCATTGTGTTTTTGGTTATTCAGTAAATATCCCAGCTGTTTTAATAAGTGGCTGCTGTTAAGCAATAACTCAGTCAATGCTCACTGCAAGGAAATAAGTCTTAGGATCCCCTTTGTTTAGCTCTCCATTTTCCTTTGTTTACTTGGCTTTTCTGATGATACAATCTGATAAGACTCCGACACGACCGAGGATAAAGGATCAGCTGAGGACATTTTTCTTTTGAGGTCACCGGGGCAATGAAAGTTGTTGGGAATAACAGTTGTAATACGGTGAAACTTTAATTCTACAGATATTTGGGCAATTCTACTATTGTGTATTTGTCAAACAAAAAAAAACCTTCTAGCAATTTCAGGAAGTCTCACCACAGTTGCTTCCCATGCTGTAACTTGTCCAGGCTGGCCATCATCAATGATACCTCATTTTCAGTTCTCCGCGCGGAGCAGCATCTACCTTCACTCGTTCAGGGCAGGAAATTAGCTTCAGTCCCACGACAAATCCTGGTAAAACGCAGCCGCCGGTGAGATGCGTGATGTCACCCAGCTGTGTTTGTCAGCTGTTGCTGTGAATCTCACTCTGGGCTCATTTACCAGCCAAGCTGAATGGTTCTGAGGAGTTTTCCAAACTGGTAATGTGCAATATTTAGCACCTTTGCTTGTCGTGTTGCCTATCTTTTGAAAGACAGTGATGTGCAAATGTCCTCGTCTTAAGTTTGCACTTTGGTGTGTGTGTGTGTGTGTGTGTGTGTAGACTGTTGATTGGAAAATGTTTTGAACAAATAAATAATTGCAAGAGAAGGTTTTGGTTATTTTGTGCAAACTCTCCTATGAAATGTTTGTTATTCTCTTTTACACAAGGACACAATCACCACTCCTACTGTTGTTCAAGAAAGTTCCAGCAGGGTGTGTTATTACTCAAGGCAGCAAAACTAAGTGTATAAATAGCTTCTGCTGCAAGAAGTGGAATAGAATCCCTTTAAATTCAGATTAAATCCAATTGAGCTCATTCAAATATATATGACATTTTGAGAATTTCAGAATAAATGACAAAAGTTTCCAGTAAACTCAAACCAAAGAGTATTTTTGACATTTCCTTTTTCTTGTAGAAGGAAATGCTAAAGTATCATGAAGTTGTGTTAAACAATCATCTGCTTCTTTAATGCAGTTTGAAAACATTAAATATAAACAGGTAAATGGCTCCATTTGGTCTGCTGTTTTTTTTTCTTCCTTTCTTAAAGCTCCACCAACCAGATATGATAAAATTATGGGATGGAAGTGCACATGACTAAAGAGGAAGAGGATAATTGCCTAAAAGCCAACCAGCTGACTGCTCATGAGTTCCAACCCCAAAAACCAAATTGTGGTTAAATTGTGGAAGAAAGAAAAACTTTCTGAAAACTGCCGCGTCATCTTTAAACCTGAATGTGGATCATCAAATAGAGCAGAAAAGGTTCCCACTTAGTTGCTGAGTCATCACACCTGGGCACTTTATCTTAAATGTTGTGTTCCTCAAAGCCTAAAACACAAAATCATTAAACTGTCAGTAAACCAACAACCCGTGGCACCAGTCGAAGTTCTGAGGGTTTCATCAGGACTGACCCGAGTTTATTTCTGCAGCTCGGTGGAACCATCAAGTTCTGTTTGGGTTTCATCAGAACACCAAGCTCTGCTCCAGCAGTTATTGTGTGCAAGTGACTCAGTAAACAGATGTTAGACAAAATCTCAGAAAGCAGTGGTTTTGTTTTTGCAGCCTGAACAGAAACCAATAATTCACAGAGAAGTTGCTCCCCTCAGGCCCAATCCCAATACTCGCACTTCCACCCTTGAGCCTTGAGGGTGTCCCGACCCTCAAGTGTGGAAGTTGACCATGGCCCTCTTGCATCCTTGATCTGCACTTGGCCCAAGTCCACATTGATGCAGACTTGGGCGAAGGGTATAACTCACAATCCATAGCTGCGTGGGAATTTTGAGAAGAAGGCAGAAAAATGGCTCAGGTGCATTTTCTGAAAAAATGTATTTTCAAACAAAAGTTCATTTTAAGATGATAACTGATATTTATTCATGCTCTGAATAGTTTAGACCAGGGGTGCCCAATCCTGGTGGTCCTGGAGGGTCAGTATCCAGCAGGTTTTGTGGTTTTTCTGCTCTTACACACTTGATTCAGTGGTTGAAACACATGTGCAGTAGCTCATCAGGCTCTGCAGAAGCCTGTTAATCACATTCTGATTGAAATCAGGCTCAAAATGAGTTTTGATAAAAGGATGAATGACTAAGTCCTTCAGGGGTACTTCTGAGTTAAAAATGCTCATGAAATACTCGTGTGGAGTAACCAGGTAGGTAGGTTTTAACATTGCAAATCTGCAACGCCTGCCTCCAGAGGGTTAAAAGTAAAACATGCTGGATACCGGCCCTCCAGGATCAGGATTGGGCACCCCTGGTTTAGACCAAGATTTAATGTGAACAGTAATGAATGTTAATTTTTCCAAGAAATTGATTGAAAGTTGTTAATAAAGATTAATAAAGAACTAGCACAAACAACGTTGTGGTCAATGACACAATGCCTCCTGTCCCAATTCGACAATTATTTGCACACTTGTGTACCAGACACTCAAATTCTTATTGCACACTTCCTCCAAGTGCACTTTGCTGAAGGCTGTAGGGTGCAGTGCGAGTATTTGGATTAAGTATCAGTGAATTATTGGTGCAGTCTTTGGAATGCTAGAACTAAATGCACCATCTGATTAGTGTTGGAGCAGCTCCTTAATTGGCCTGATAAAACACAGCGATGCATATTAAATGTGACACTCAGTAGGCCTGCTATGGAGTGGAATATGTAGGCCACCACCATGGAAAATTTCATACCAGCTGATCTGTAGTTTTTATGAATCCCAGCATTTAATTAAACCTGAGCTTAAGACTGTTGGCTCCACCAATGACGACATAGGGAGAGCTGGCAGAGACAATGTTCCATATTGTTGTTTTTCGCCCACAAAACCAATTATTTATTTTACTTAATTTTGATCCAGTTTATGTATCATCTTCATCACGGTATTCTAGCTCGTAGCACCCTGACATCCCCTTTTGGCTATTCCTGGGAGATCCAGAGGCGTTCCCAGGCCAGAGAGAATATAGAAGCTATTCATATCTGGATCTGCCTCTTCAGGTCTCAGTGATGGATAAACTCCATATGGAAGCTTCTAAGTCACATGATGAACCAACTTTGCTTGTTCCCTTGGTCATGATTCAAATTTCAAGACCACAGGGAAGGCTTGGAACATGGACCACTAATGGAGAGCTTTGCCCTTTGGCTTGGCTCCTTTGACAAAACCATCATTACTCTAAACAAATCCCAGATTTGTTGTTGCATACCGCTCCATTCTTCCATCACTCCAGACTTGTGAGTACCCCAGGAGCAACAAAAGACCAATGAAGTCATTATTTGGTAACACAGAACACATAAAATATAGAGACTGAGCATGATGCATTTAAAAACTCATATAATGGACCCACTACGTCAAACGCATCAGTAACAGCTCCATGAACTTGGCATCATCCTTGCACTTAAGATTTCTAGATATCAGTTAGAATGAATGAAGACATTGATTTCCTAACTTCTCCTGATTTTAGCGCAAAATTAAAATAATCTTCCATGCAGTCACACCGTGTTCCAATGATGCTCAACATGCAAGACAAATATCCCTGCAGGCTTCAAACCCCTCCCATTTCATGTCCAGATAAAAGGCTGCAAACCTTTTTGCTTGTTGGACTGAAAGCACGATATGACCAAGATGATTCCTGCAGTTACTCTCTACAACGGAGCCCAGATGCCTACAGTTGGTCTGGGAACGTGGAGGGTAAGGATAGAGGGTTTAAATGCATGCAGCAGCTCAGAGATGAACATTTATGACCCGCTTATGTTGATAATGTTTATGTTCTTTTAAAACTTCTTTTAAAAGCTTTGAGCGATGCATAAATGTCGGCATTCTCAGTTCTTGTTTTCATGTTTACAGCATTCAGAAGTTGTCTCAAAGCAGTAAAACTAATTGTAGCCGAGTGTTATCTGTGCAAGGCGGTACATTTTAACACTACTGTTCTGCGCTGTTGATCTCTGCCTGCTAAAACTGGTGTAGGGATCCATTTCAAAAGTACATCTAAAGAAAAAAACTATACAAAGATACATGCAGACGATTAATCTGATTGGGTTTTTACTTTTGCTGGTGTTAAACTGAAATGGTTGCTCATAATTTAAGTCACATTCCCATTTTTTTGCAAGTGGTGGAAAGCAGTGATGTCTCTTGAGACTCATTTTTTAATTCCCAAACCTAGAAATATTAATTTGCACAAGTTAAAACAGTCATAAACCTAAATTATACTTGACACGGCTGTTTGTCTTTTGTCCTGCAGGCAGAACCAGGGAAGGCGAGCGAGGCTGTGAAAGTGGCTTTGAGCTGTGGCTACAGACACATCGATGGTGCCTTCGTGTACCAGAACGAAGAGGAAGTCGGTGCTGGGATCCATGCTATGATTGACCAAGGAGTGGTTCAAAGGGAGGATTTATTTATTGCCAGTAAGGTATGACTAAGATGCTGTGAGAAAAGATAATTACAACAAATGTCATTTCTAAGAGTGTTTGTTTTCACTGTTGGTCATGCACTCATCTCATTTTAGGTCCACATTGTTCCAGATGTCTTAAAGGTCTAGTGTAATTCACACCATACAAATGTGGTTTCATGGAGCAGAAAATGGGATTGTTTGCTTTAAAAGAAAGGATTACCACTCGTGTAGAGAAAAGACTTCTTTTGTCAGAGCTTAAAAACACATTGCAATGTTTTTTTTTTAATTGGGAGTTTTCCACTAAACTGGTTCCAGCTGCTGATAGCTAGCCTCTTTCAGTGAAAACCAGTGATACCTCTTAGCTAAGCATGGAGTAATGTAAGGTTTTAATGGTATTACTACCAGTAGTACTTCAGTCTCACTGCTTTCAAGTGGATACGTTTGACCATGAGGATAAAAATACTTCTCTTTCCACTCAATGTGATTTATGTTTGAACGAAAACAAACAAAAAAACAACTTAAATTTAACTTAAAGATTATAGTTACCGGGCTGCACAGTGGAGCAGTGGTTAGCGCTGTTGCTTTGCAGCAAGGTCTGGGTTAATATCCTAACCTGCAGCCTCTCTGCATGGAGTTTGCATGTTCTCCCTGTGCACACATGGGATTGCCCTCCAGGCAATCTGGCTTCCTCCCACAGTCCAAAAACATGACAGACTGGTTGTTTGGTCTCTCTGAAATTGCCCTTAGGTGTGAGTGTGTGTGTGCTTGATTGTTTGTCCTGTGTCTCTCTGCGTTGCCCTGCAATGGATTGGCAACCTGTCCAGGGTTTACCCCGCCTGCTGGAGATAGGCACCCCCCCCCCCCCCCCCCGGCGACCCTGCGAGGATAAGCGGGTTGAGATTGAGAACGTTGATGGATTATAGTTAGCATTATATTTAGGCTTAGCTGTTTGTGGCTTACATGTCGACAATACGTGGTTTCATGTTTCCACGCAACTTTTACTTAGCATTAAGTTGCTAATAACTGATTTTGACCAAGTGAATATTGAACAAACGAATGTTTATTTTGATTATGCGTTGTTTGTACAGTTTTGATCCCTAGTACATTTACAGATCAGGGGCTTGCTTATGCTCATTGAGGTCTGAAAACTTCACAAGTCTTTTTCTAAGCAAACTTTGTGAGTTACCCCCAGTCAGTCGCGGCAGACGGCTGCTTATGGCCAGGTTCTGTTGGAGGTTTCTTCCTGTTAAAAGGGAGTTTTCCTCTCCACTGTCGCTACATGGTATAAAGACACTGACACAAGTCTGTGACTCGATGCAACCTGCTGGGTTCCTTATATAGTACATTTTTAACTCATTGGCACGATGAACTAAACTCAATAGGAATGTTTTACTTTTTGAAGTGGCTTGAGACGACTCTTGTTGTGATTTGGCACTATGTAAAGGGACAGCTGCAGCTCAGGAGGTAGATCGGGTTGTCCAGCCATCAGGAGGTTGTAGGTTCGATCCCGGCTCCCGTCAGAGAATGCTGCTGTTGTGTCTTTGGGCAGACACTCAAGCCACCTTGCCTGCTGGTGGAGGTCGGAGGGACCGGTGGCACCAGCGCCCAGCAGCCTCGCCTCCATCAGTATGCCCCAGAGCAGCGGTGGCCACACCAGCATATGGAAGTGTGTGTCAATGGGTGGATGGATGACTGTGTTGCAAAGTACCTTGGGGGGTTGTAGAATAATGTATGTAGAACCCCAATAAGGCACTGTACAAATACAGGCCATAAATAAACTGAACTGAATGAATAAAATCAACAGAAATCTTACTAGCGTTGAAAGGTGCCAGGTATGTAACTGATGTTTACACGCGTGTTCTATCCATATTTGGTGGAAGAAAGTTTCATCATATCAGCTAAGTGTGATCTTATGTCTTCAGTGAATGTGCTAATGAAGTTGGACTCCACTGAAGCTGCCCTTTGAACCCGATTCTGTTCTTAACTTTTATGAAAAGGATTTATAGACACTGCCAAGGTGCTGAGAGATATTATGAGTTAACTTTATTACTTTTGTAGCCCGTCTCATCCTTGTGAGTCAATACGGATAAACTTGGTTGTGAGCGAGTTTCCCTTAGCCTAAGCACAAATAGAATTCCCCTTTTCATGCTCTACTTGCACAAAATGTCAATAACCTTTTTTGTGTTTCTTAGTTATGGTGCACATTTCACGTTCCGTCCCTGGTGAGGGGAGCATGTGAGAGGAGTCTCTGTGATCTGAAACTGGACTACCTGGACCTTTACCTTATTCACTTCCCGATAGGGATGCAGGTCTGACCACAGAGGAAACCTTTAACCCTCCCACTGTCCTAATGGGTGTGACCCCATGAGGAAAGTTGACCATTGAGCAGGGTTGATGGTTTATCCCTTGGGTCCACGTGGCAGGGGTGAGGAGTGAGAACCACCTCACCCCTGCCACGTGGACCCAAGGGATAAACCACCAATCCTGCTCAATGGTCAACTTTCCTCATGGGGTCACACCCATTAGGACAGTGGGAGGGTTAAACTAAACTGATCTGACCTCACAGAGTTAGATGTTTGCCACATATTATTTGCTTGAGAAGTTAAATCTATCTGGTTAAAATGTTGCCTAACTTCTCTCCACAGCCTGGGGATGAAATGTTTCCAGAGGATGAGAACAACCAAATTATTAGTGATGGCAGTTCCTTCTTAGACACTTGGGAGGTATTTCAGGAAAGCACAATCACCATTCATGACTTGTTGGCAACAACCACTCACATCCAATAACATAAAACTGTTGATCAGGCCATGGAGCAGCTGGTGGACGACGGTTTGGTCAGAGCTGTGGGCATCTCCAACTTCAATAAAGACCAGATTGAAGCCATCCTCAACAAACCAGGCCTTAAGTACAAACCTGCCAACAACCAGGTGGAAAAGTTTCCTTATGGAGAATCACGTCCTGAAACAATACCACAAAACAATAAATTCTGTAATACTTTGGCTCTTTTAGATTGAGTGCCATCCTTATCTGACCCAAGAGAAGCTAATCAACTATTGCCACTCGAAGGGCATCTCTGTGACGGCGTACAGCCCTCTGGGCTCCCCTGACAGACCCTGGTGAGACAATCCACAACTATTATTTACATTCAAATGTGTTATTTAAAACGAAAAAACACTGATCTTTTTTGTTTTAATTAAAGGGCCACCCCTGATGATCCCAGTCTTCTAGAAGATCCTACAATCCTGGCTATCGCTAGAAAGTACAAGAAGACTTCAGCACAAGTAAGAAACCAATGCCGATCCTATTATTTCCCTGTATTTTCCCAAATATCTTTAAGCTATTAGGCCTTTTGGGGTTTCTCAAGTGAAAACAGTAATTTGGTGAATCCTTGTTAAGGAAGAACAAAGTGTAAAATGAGATTTTACCGATGACAACGTCACAAGTTTGCATGAGATGTCTCGTAAAAGGAGAGTCCTAAAGGACACACATTTGATAACAGCAGCACAAATTAAAGCAACAAGCCCAAAGAACAGGCACACTGTGTGCTGTGGTGATGTTTTCAGTCAGTGGTGATTGGTGGGACAACCACAAACCGTCAATGTGTACCGCTTCATCTAAAAGTGAAAATTAGGTCAGAGATAATCAGCATGGTGGACGATCAGATTTGTAGAGAAAGCTGTAACCACAGAAGATTAATGGGCGATCCGATTTCACTATTAAATGGTTGCGTTTCAGGTTCTCATGAGGTTCCATACTCAGAGGAATGTGGCGGTCATCGCAAAGTCAGCGACACCTCATCGGATCAAAGAGAACATCCAGGTAACTTTTAGACCATTCTTTTGGGGAGTTTCGTCCTTTGCAGATCTCATTTCTAGCATTCTTTTGGTTCCAGCTGTTTGACTTTGAGTTGAGCGAAGAGGACATGAAAACCCTTCTGAGTTTGAGCAAGAGCTGGAGAGGATTCCCAGCAAAGTGGTGAGCAGAAACGAAAGAGAATAAAAAGGACAACCCAACATAAACAGTGTTAATGATCTTTATCTTGTTTTCCCCACAGGGCTTCTAAGCACAAGGACTACCCATTTAATACAGAATACTAACATAAGATGCATCGTCTGTTGCGAGACTTCTTTTTTTCTGACAATTTACCAGATTATTTAGCATTGAAAAACTTTAATTTCCTACAGATTTATAAACAATATTGATCTACGTTTCATAATTAGAAGGGTGTAAATCAGGGGTGCAGGTAGGATTTTCAAACGGGGGGGGGGACAAAGTTCCAATGTACCCTCCCCCAAACACATGCACGCACACACACACAAACACACACACACGCATGTACACATACACAAACTATTGCAAGCCCCTTAACTAGAGCTCAGTCAGTTTGTGTAATTTCATCCAATGGTTTACGTAAAAACTAACACTTTTATATACGTGTTTGGAGCCATTATGCAGTGGAACGCTGGCAACAAAGCTCTGCCTGATCAACACCATAAATGATAAATGATCTGCACTTGTATAGCACCTCTCAGAGTAAGGACTCCAAAGTGCTTTACACTACAGTGTATCATTCATCCATTCACACACGTTCACACACTGATGGTGATGAGCTACGATGTAGCCACAGCTGCCCTGGGGCACACTGACAGAGGCACCCCACTATTTAATTCAGTCATTTGTTATTCTTCCAATCAATTACTAACCAAAACCTCATGCTTTATGCAAAACTTTAAATGATTTTCAGCAAACCAATCTTTGCAGAAAACATAAAAGCCCTAAAAAACTGCACATAAAATATATTTAAAAAACAATATTCACTTATCACTTAGAGCAAACTAGCAAACTTTTCAGCCTGACCAACAAATGTTCCTTCGTATTTTTACGTTATTTAGAAATTTTCATTATATTTGGAAAGTTTTAATTTATATATAAATCTCTTTTTAAATTTTATATTTAACTTTTTTTTCTGATTATGTGGCACACTTGACTTCCATACAACGCATCGGCATCTGCCTCTTTTTTACGGCTTTTTCTTTACACTGTCGCTACGTCTGTCATGTTAGCGGTGTTTTTACCATCATTTCTACATCCATCACGTCCCAGAGAAGGTTAAACCAACATCAAACCCAACGTTTGGAGCTTGTAAACTCCACACACCTCTCGTGCAGCACCAGCTGTCTGATGCTGCAGCAGCGTCAATCTTCCCAGCTGGATGAGTGAATTTCTTCATCAGAGTCAATATTCTGCTTCATAATCGGAGTCAGTCATGACCAGACAAAGTGATCAGTCAACAAAGACCAGACCTGCTGGCAATTATACGTTTTATCTAATATTTGCGCTCTTCATGCTGCCCGCATCTCCTCCTCTCCCCGACTGGGAGCCTCTCGGCGGGAGGCGATTTTCGAACTCTAAAAACTCCCAAACTTTGCCCAGCCTGAAGGTTACACATTTCCACCATCTTCTGATGTAAAGTAGTAACTTCATGAGGGATCATATTTGTAGATGAGACTTGTTAAAGTCAGCAATGAGGCGTTGGCGCTTATAACCAGCATGCAAAAACAGACAGATCAGTCCTGCCTACTTACACTGTTGGTCTTTTGTAAATACGCAGTAATCATTGATTGCCTTTTTCGCTTCATCCTGCATCCTAGCAGCAACCACTTTGGCGCCTCTGGAGTCAGTGTTTGTTTACGTCATGCTGCATTCAATGTAATTGGAAAAAGGAGCTTCAAGCGCTAAACCTCCGATTTTGTTTTCTTTCTGGCCTTAGTTGGGGGGGACGGATCGGGGTCGATCTGAATCTGGGGGGGACAGATCCACCCCATCCCTCACCCTATCTGCGCACCTGGTGTAAATGTCTGGTGCCTCATAGCAAGAAGATTCCTATTGTACAACCCCTTATGTTCCAGACTGGCTGTGATCATGGGTGTGACCTCTGACCTCAGCAGTTTAAAGGGAAAGGATGGTTGTATGAGCACCATCCCTAAACAGAGAAGCAGCTAAAGGGAAATGAAAGGTCTTATTGAAGGCTAAATGGTGAGATTAAACTATGGATACAAAGCAGAGCAGACAGGCCTCAGTCACAACTCATACATTAGATCTAATCATGGATTAAATGATTTCATTTGTTCAGCTGAAGTTTGGGAAATATTAGAAGTGAAATAAATTTGCTGCTTGACTTCCATCTATTTTCCTCTGCTTATCCGGGGTCAGCAGTCTAAGCAGGGAGGTCCAGACTTCCCTCTCCTCGGCCACTTGGGCCAGCTCCTCCGAGGGAATCCCAAGGTGTTCTCTAGCCAGATGAGAAACATAGTCCCTCCAGTGTGTCCTGGGTCTTCCTTTGGGTCTCCTTGGACGTGCCCAGAAAGCCTCACCAAAGAGGCATCCTAACCGGATGCGTAAGCCATGACCAGCCGAGGGCTGCTAGTCCCCAGCATATCTAGTAGTAACGCCAGTAAAGGTGCCATTTCTCAGTAATCAGCACCAGCGTCTCAAGTTACCGGCGCCAGCTTATCATTAATCAGGTCGGTAGTTTGCTTCGGAACTTATATAGCCTCCTGCTGCTGGGCAGTAGTCTTAATTTTGGCCCCCATACCGTGCCATACAATCCAGGGTCTAAGGCAAAGCGTATTAGAAAATAGCTCTTTTAGTCTCGTTCATCTTCTCGTTCTTCGGGGACCCATGAGCTGACCGTAAATGGAGGATAATCCCTATTTGAACAAGAGGCAGCATGCTGCCTGCGTCAACACCAGATAAAAAAGCAAGTATATTCCCAACCTAAGAGAGCCCAGACACCCTGTGGAGAAAACTCATTTCGGCCGCTTGACTTGTGAACCTTGATTTGTGCCAATAAATCAGATTTTTCCGAACTAATTTGAAGTTCTGCCATTTTAAATCCGTTTTTGTTTGGTTTCACAGTACCAACCCCTGCTGGTGACCTTTAATTATTCTAATTTATCATCTTAGAAAACAATCATTGACTTCTCTCTCCCACAGGACTTTATTGGAGTGCTTTACAAATGCAGATCCCATAGGAGTGAATGAAGTGTTTTACACATGACAGAGTGCCAAAATGGAGTCATTTAAAGTCGAGTTGATGAAATAAACAGGACCATAGTTTTAGAGACATATTTAACCCTTTGATGCACAATGGTGGACAGGAACTCAAAATTGTTATTTATTTTTTGCTATCAAGCACAGCTGTTGAAGACTTCATTGCATTTGAGCCGCTCCATTTTGACTTGTTAAAAAAATCATGGTTGAAGATTTTATAATTCATGCATCAAAGGGTTGGCACTTTACAATGAATGAAAATCAGAAGGCACTTTTTGCAGACCATTAACTCATTCACTGCCAATGACGACTAAGGTCGTCTTTAGCATTTTTTTTTTTACTGTGTGGGCGTTGGAACGAGCCCCCGCACCGTGAGAACAAACATCCCAGCTCTAAAGCCGATCTTCATCCGCGTATGTCACATGTCACGTGACCAGAAAGCAGATGTGTTAGGAGATCATTTTGGGCTGTTGCTGTAAAAAAAAAAAAAAGAAAAAAGTGAGGCACGAACCGGAAAAGCTTCTGCCGATCACAATTCAACAACGGATTATGAAAGAATGGATAACGCTCAAAACACGCTGATTCTTTCTGATGTAAGAGGTGAGTTTACTCTTTGTTTTGGTTGTTTTGGCGTCGACCTCATCCTAGCACGCAACGTTCTGTGACTCTTAAAAACAGTAAAAACGGTGAGAAACGCTGGCAGCGAAGGGTTTTACCGATCAGGAAACGGCTGGCAGCGAATGAGTTAAAATGATAAAGCTGCTCCTGAATGTAGTGCTATAAAATGTCTTATTTGGGAAAATATATTTAAAGGCAGTAATTCCCTTTTTGCCTAAATAAAGCTGCAGATAAAATTTCCATTTCAGTAATTTAATTCAATTTAAAACCAGCCACATCAGGGTCATTTGATGAACCACTAAACAAAACAAATGACAATGAGGTCAAATAGAAAATAAATCCTGAAAAATCTGACAAAAAAGCTGTTAAGCTCCAGTCAAACCAGCAGGTTGAGCAGCAAACTCCAGCACCCTGTGGGACTTTGGTGGTTTTTCAGAATTCAGTGTTGAACGGATAATCCTTGTGGTGAACAGCCCTAAAAACGGAAAATCAGAACGTTTTATACCAGTTGAGTAAAACAAAAGACAACAAGAACCAGAATAAAGAGACTTTACCATGTCATTGCACACACCCTCCAGTTTCTGTTGAATCCCAGAACAGTTTTCATTTCCTCCTCGGTCAATTCAAAGTCAAACACCTGCAAACATTCACACGACTGTCTCAGTTCACAACCCCAAAAGTAGATGGGAGGTTAATCCAACCAGGAAGAGAACCCTCTGCTCGATGACTTGCCTGGAAGTTCTCCTGGATGCGCTGCGGCGTGATGGACTTGGGGATCACAATCACGTTTCTCTGGATTTGAAAGCGGATCAAGACCTGGAGAGAGGATGGGGATCGGTCAGCAGCAACCACCTCAAATTAGTCAGAGAGAGCCGTGGGAAGAGGCTAAACACAAAACTAAAACACAGTTTGTACAAAAGTGTACGTTAAATGAGGTCCTGATCAGCCAGGGAGTAAATATGCATTTCTAAAAAGGGATTCAGAAACCATAAGAGCGAGCCTAATGAGTACTGGTGAATCATTCCAGACAAAAGTAAATGAAGACGTAAAAATGGGCTAAACTGTCGGTTTTTCTCCTCATCAGCATGTAAAAGTAGCCATTTTTGCAGAAGATGGTACTTAGAGGCAGCAGAAAAAAAGATGCTGAAGAGCAGAATCAGAAGGGTTTAATGCCGCATGTGTGAGAAATCACAACTTTAGGAAACTACTGCGGTACCTGGTGCAAATAAATGAGAAAATAATAAATAAGCACAATAAAATAATAATATAGACAGGCAATAATTAGAGAAACGGATAAGAGATGAAAGACAGTGTAGGTACCAGAGTTAATTTTGCCAAGAACTTTTAATCTACTCTTGGTCTTTTGACTAAAACGTAAAAGAATTTCACATATTTTAGTCCTTTTTTAGTCGACTAAAGTAAAAGTATTTTTCTTCTAGTGAAATAATTTCTACTTGTGTATTGGAAATGTTAATTACACCTACTTGAAACTGTAAAGAAATACGTAAAATTCACGTTTCACACTTTGGATCAATAAAACTCTACATTTCTAATAGTTTTAATAACAATAATTTATGGAAAATACCTAAATGAACACTGACAGTTTGAAATTCTGACTCAGTATTAAAAAATATATTTGCTGATTGGTTCTTTTTTCGCTGTCCCGTCTTTTTGTTTCTGTCAATTTTCCTTGTCGTCTCTTATTTATCGACAAAAGTGTCGATCGATATTGGTCATAATTTAGTCTTTATTGGCGTGTACATTTTAGTTTTTGCTTCTTTTTAGTCCGCAAAAATTAATTCGTCATGAAAAAAGAAATGCAAATATTTCATCAACAAAATTACCACTGGTAGGTACTGGTCAGGTGCAAACATCACACGGGGTCAAATGACTGAGACAAGGTGACTGGCAGCTCCCTGTGCTCACACAAAATGCTGTGAGTGTTGTACCTGAGCAGGCGTCTTCTTGTGCTTCTCAGCAATGGCTTTGATGCGAGGATCTTCTAAAAGCGAAGGGTCTTCTGGTTTAGCCCTGCAATGGAAAGGGATTATCCACCTTTCTTCACATGCTGCTTTAAGGCTCCAGCTACATCTGGGAACACGCTTTGTTTTATAATTTAGCCAAAAATGAACCCCCCCCCCCCAAAAAAAGGCTAAGCTAGCTGTGAGGTAATTTGAAACAAGCTGAAACTAACAGATGGGATCCAGGAAGCAGAATGGCAACAGATAAACAGAAACTTTACCTTCAAATTGAAGACTCATAATTTAGCAGTGATTGTGCACATACCAGGGTCTGTCAGGGGAACCCAGGGGGCTGTAGGCAGTCACTGTAATGCCCTGAGAGTGGCAGAAGTTGATCAGCTTCTCCTGGTTAAGATAAGGGTGGCACTCCACCTAAAGGGTAAAACATACATCATTTTATTTAAGTATTTTTAAACATCTCTGTGTGTGAATTTCTATTAACAGATCCATTTACTAATTAAAAAAACAGGAGACTCATTTTCCCTTAGTTGTGTGTGTGTGTGACGACAAAAAGCGGGAAGAAAATGGAGCTTTAATCTCATAAAAAGACACAACCAGGTAAAGCAGGATGCTGATTGTGAACAATGGTTCTCGAGAAGCACAAAAACATAAGGTCAGCTCGGCTAATTGTCGTGGCCTGAGGGAGAACTGATGTGGACCATTGTCATCCCAGCACAGATGAGAGGAGACCGATAATGTCGTTACTCTTGCCCTTTCAGAGCCATGAACTTAAAAATGCATCCGTTTTCCTGCTTTGCAGCCCTCAGATCTTCTATAAAAGGCTAAATGTAAACACGAGCATACCTGGTTGTTTGCAGGTTTATATTTGAGGCCAGGTTTGTTGAGTAGAGCTTCAATCTGGTCCTTATTGAAGTTTGAGACGCCGATAGCTTTGACCAAACCAGCATCGACTAGTTCCTCCATCCCCTGAGAAAATAAGTAATCTATTCTAGGGTTATGTATGTAACAGACAGCGTTTGTTCTTGTTTAACACCTGACACGAGTGACTGACTCACCTCCCACGTCTGCAGGAAGTGAGTTTCATCACCGATCGTCTCTCCATTACTGTCAGAAGGAAATAGCTCTTCACCAGCCTGCAAATAAAAACAGTCAATCCAAATCATATTTAACTGATTTCTTTATTGGGAAAAAAGTTATTTAACACATAACAAAAATTTGTTTCAGCATGATTGATGCAAGCCCACCTTAAAACCCATAGGCCAGTGCACAAGATATAGATCCAGATAATCCAGTTTCAGATCACTGAGCGTTTTCTCACAGGCTTTCCGTACCAGGGCCTTCTCATGGAAGGTGCACCACAGCTATGGAAGACAAGGTTGATTCAGCTTTATGAACTACCAACTTTTATTTCGTATTTTTTCGTAGCTTTACAACATACCTTACTGACAACAAAGAGATCCTCTCTCTTGACCAGGCCATCTTTGATCATGGCATTTACACCCTCACCCACCTCCGCCTCGTTCTGGTAGACAAACGCCCCGTCGATGTGCCTGTAGCCGGCGGAAATGGCTGCTTTCACTGCCTCTGTGACCTTTCCAGGTGGAGACTAGTAGACGGGGATGACTCATGAGTAAAACAATGTTCGTATTACAGCTCGACTTAAACTAGCAAATCATGCAGTTTTTATGCAGATTATTTTTGGGAATGTTTTAGAAAAGGATAATTTTATTGTTAAAACATTTAACAAACAAAATATTTGTCATTTCTGCATGCCTGAGTGCTACTCCTTTACTTTGGAAGTCTGTAAAGATCATTCTCAGTGTTTTGATATATAAGCAAGAGGTTTTACATATTATACTTGTCAGAAAATAATTGTTTCACAGCTATTAATTGTGTCAGAAATCCTTATTTATACGTTCAATCTGCGTAAAAAGTATTTTAAGGTCAAATGTGGGCATTTAGTAAAACAAGAAACTTAATGTGAGGATTTAAACAGTGTGTTATGATGAAAACATGCGTAACATTGCATTTACAGCAAGCAGCTTACACAGGATTGATTTTAAGTGACACGCGCTTCAGAAATCAGCGTACGTAAGTTACGTAACGTCACGTTCTGATTAGTTACACTAATTATGAAATCAAGGCAGTTTACGTGGTCACGCGTGGATTAGCCACGCATTAAATACTCCATTTGGTCCTGAAGTAATATAAAACTCCGTATGCATTATTAAATCAGAGTTCAACGGAGGAAAAAACATTTAAAAGGAGAACAGGTTTCTGCTCCATGACACGCTCTCTTCACAAAAGTACCATAGCTAGCTTTCGTAACAGGCGAGCTTCAGCAAAACTGCTATTACGTCAAAAAGATACAAACCTTCCACGTGCCCAATCCCAAAATGGGCATTTCGGCACCGGTGTTCAGTTTAACAGTGGTTGTCATTGTTGCAGAAGACCAGCAAAACCCCGAATTTGGACGAGAAGGTCGGATGTGCGACAGGAATGCAAGTGGAGGAAGACGAAAAGGACTCGTCAGAGTCGTCAATCGATTATTGATGCCTTGCTGAAGTGCGCCGAGCGCCGTACGCAGCTGTCAGTTTATTAATGGGAGGAAAATCCCCTGAATAAACAAGAAGATGGTTGTCTTTACAGATGAAAGCGTCTCATATCTGATGGAATAAAAAAATCTGAATATTTTAGTATTTGAAAGCATCAGTTTGAGTTATATTTAAATGTTTATCTGTCTTTTTGTATTAGTATTCTACAGCAGCTGTTCATGTGATTCTGGTTGTAATCATTCCAGTATATCGGGTTATTTTCAATATTTATGAGCTAAGAAACAACAGACAGACTTAACTATACCAGGCATTTCATAAAATTCATGTTCTAGCTTTTAATTGATAGTAATTGCGTTGGGGGTGTTGGTCATAATACAACTTTAGCTCATTCTCTGTTGTTAATGGACTTATTTAACCACGTCTATTATACTTTAATAAAGCATTGTTTTTATTCCTCCCTGTCATTTTATCTTGCAGTATTTAATTCAGCTTGTTTTAAACGTGTTTCTTTCCTGTATGTACCTATTTCTTTAATGCTGTTACACTAGAGGCCCCACAATTTCCATGTCTTTTTCCCCCGCAAACAATGTTTTGGTCTTTAAAATTAATGAAGTAACATGTGAGTCATTTTTAAACAGTTGGCAATTAATGTGCAGAACAAAATCTCTTCATGAGATGCTAACTGGCATCTACAAACGCGATTTATATAGAAAACCTTTTACTGATTGGCTCAATGAACTGAACTATATTCGAATGCATACTTTGTGAAGCACCTTGAGACGACTATTCTTTGGCGTTATATAAATAAACTGATTTTAAATAAATTTAAACTTGATTGAGAAAATGTGAAATTGTTAAAATGCTGAATTCTTTGGAGAATGGTTTTGACTCAGTCTTTAAATACATTTAGAACATAAAACAAACCCTAAAAACATGCATTGAAAATATTAGACTGTAAAAGGAAGTAAAAGAGTTGCACAGTGATGGTGATAATGGAATCCAATGATCAATGATCAAGTTATTAAAAATTTCAAAAGTTAATTATTAAGACACATAAGAATGAAAGCAAAAACAATGTGGTCCATAAAGTCTAGTTAGCAATGGAACCAATAGTTCACATAACGAAGCTTTTTTGTTTTTTATATGTTTCATATGTTTGCCTTTTTCTACAACTTACCGGGTATCCACATATTTGTACAGGCCCAAGCACACATGGGGACAGACCCCAAATTGGAAGTTCCACTATTCAGCCACTAGAGGGCAGAATCACACTTTACTAACTGTGGAAAAAAGCCACCAGCACTCATCCAGATGTCTCAAATGTGAAACTGTCCAGATTTTAGAAACTGGTTAACACGTCTTTCAATTACAGTAAGAAACATGATTAATCACTTCCTCTAAAGCTTCCAAACGACCTCAAAAACACGCAGACGCATTAATGAATCACCCTTTTTTTAACCACCTCTGGTTATGTTTTGATTAATTCTTCGTGACCAAATCTCAGGATGACGTTTGAAGCTACAAGCATAGACCAGCTTAAACCTCAAGAGACGTCTGAAAGGGAGAAGAACACACACAAGGTGACTTCTTTTGGCAAAAATCAGATAAACCCTCACAGACCTTTAACTGAGCCATTCAACATTCTGAGAAGAAGATAAGAGAGGGAAAAACAGACGTAGAAAAAAAAGAAGAAAAACATACAAAGGGAAAAGTTATGTGAGCTACAGCAGCCACTGTGTACCTCGCAATGCTTCTCGCCAAAGTTTGAGTCTCTTCTGATCTTCTCCCAGCTGGACACCCGCTTTTCAGGCCCCTCTCTCGTCTGATCTGACTTCACACACTGGAAGGCCTTTTGACAACCTCCAAACTGTCAAAGTACCGAAGGAATCAAACACCATCGCATACTGTCAGGATCAAAGAGTCACAGGTAAACCAGACAAAGACACGGACGTGTACAACCGCTGCCTAAAAGGGAGGGGGGGTCATTTCAGAAGCTATTATTTTACGTCTGCAGACAGATAACATCTCACTGTACCAGGCCGACTGATTAAAATAAAGAGGAAACAACATCTGAACGAGCTACAGAGGACCAGCTTTCAAGAAAAGCCTTTGGCTGAAGTATAAACCTGCCTTTCAGATATCAAGCTGATCGTGGCGTTTCAGATAAACACAAGTCTCCTCTGTTATTTGTGGTCATAATGAACGCTCTTAACGCTCCATGTTCAGCTTTTCACTGACTCCAAATCAGATCAGACACTCTACCGCTAAGACACAACCCATCCTGGGGAGATCAAACACTACATTTCATTTCATGGCATTTTCCCCCCACAATCCCCCTCCCCTCCTCCTTCTCATGTCTCTCCTCACTAGACCGTTTTCATCTCTGTTTCTGCCAGAATGTCCTAGGTCACATTCTCCACCCGCGAATCTGATGTTGAGTGTCAGTTCATTTTAGGTTCACACACACACACACACACACACACACACACACACACACACACACACACACACACACACACACACACACACACACACACACACACACACACACACACACACACACACACACACACACACACAATCTTGTATTTGTACCCATCTTAGGACTTTGTCTTGACTTCCATTCATTTTAGTGAGTCCACTATGCCTAACCCTTACCCTTACCCTAACCCTAACCAGTGTATTCCTAAAGTTATCTGTAACATAAACTCAATTCACATCTTATCTGTAACCCTCACTCCTAGGGAGTACTCCGTATTAGGACTGGGTTTTGGTCCTAACAAGGACCATCGGTTGTAAGAAGGTTGGTAAATATCCCAAATCCGGTCTTCACAAGGGTACAAATACAAGTGCACACACACACACACACACACGCACGCATGCACACACACACACACGTTTAGTACTCATGGTCATGAAAATAATGACAACACATTGAATGAGAAGGTGTGCCCAAATTTTGGCCTGTACTGTATATACCAAGAAGTGTTGCTACATTGTGATTTCTTGATAAATATTTTATTTAGTAAGAGATAAGCTTTATTATCTTTATCTTAGTGAATCTATAATTAATTCAACAGGTAAACTAGTAGTAGCACATTCCATGTCAAAGAAATTAAAATGTTATCATCTGAAGAGGGAGAGTGTTTAAGTGGTTAGCAGCAGTGTGCTAGCTGATGGTCCCTCCATGAGGCTACTACAGCTCACCAGATAAATAACAGGATCAAGAGGAGAAATCCCTAACTCCTAAAAAAAATTGGACCAGCTTCTCCTGGGAATCCCAAGGCATTACCTGGCCAGCTGAGAAACATAGTCCCTCCAGCATGTCATGGGTCTTCCTTTAGGTTTCCTCCTGGTTGGACATGACTGGAAAACCTCACCAGGGAGGCATCCAGAAGGCTTCCTAACCAGATTCCTGAGCCACCTCAACTGACTCTTCTCAATGTGAAGGAGTAGCAGATCTTGTATGAGCCCCTCCCGGATGGTCGAGCTTCACACCCTTTCTCTAACGGAGAATCCAGACACCCTGCAGAGAAAACTCATTTCGGCTCCTTGCATCCACAATCTTGTCCTTTTGGTCACTACCCAAAGCTTATGACCAGAGGAGAAGGTAGGAACGCTCTCCATTCATCACAACAAATGCAGCACCAGTCTGAGTATCAATCTTGTGCTCTATCTTTCCCTCACTTGTAAACAAGACCCCGAGATACTTAAACTCCTCCACTTGGGGCAGGACTTCATCCCTGACCCCGAGAAGACATTCTAACCAGAGAAAGCTGGAGATCACGTTCTGATGAAGCCAAAATGAGCACATCAGCAGAGATCACAAAAACGGATCCTCTCAACATCTCGACTGTGCCTAGAAACCCTGTCTATAAAAGTTATGAACAGAATTGGTGACAAAGGGCAGCCTTGGCGGAGTCCAACTCTCACAGGAAACAAGCTTGACATGTCGGCAATCCAGACCAAGCTCTGACACCGGTCATATAGGGACCTAACAGCCCGTTTCAAAGGGCCTGGTACCTCATCCCCTGGAGTACCCCTCACAGGGCCCCCTGAGGGACGTGTTCGAACACCTTCTCCAAATCCATAAAACACATGTAGATTGGTTGGGCAAACTCCCACGCACCCTGTGGGATCCCCACAAGGGTATAGAGCTGGTCAGGTTTTTCATGGCCTAGATGAAAACCACATTGCTCCTACTGAATCCGAGTTTCAACAATCCAACAAACCCTCCTCTCCAGAACACGTGGATAAACTCAGGGGGCTCAGGAGTGTGACCCCCCTGTAGTTGGGACACATCCCTATTTAAATGGTGGGACTGCCCCTGATGTCCACACTATAGGGAGCCTAAGTCACTTCCGGACCACGGGTCCCCAGAAAAACGAAAAAAGGAATGCAAGTCAACGGGGCTAAAAACGCTATTTTCTACTTCTGCTTGTTTTGTGCCATGGATTTCACATATGATGTCCGCAAATTATAATGACACGTTTCGATACCAAGGACGCGCTTATTTTCGAACAGGGGGAACGATATTTTAGGTTTTGTGTGAAAATAAGTCCAGGACTACAAATGTGCTTCACAAAAGTGACGTCAATGAACCAGACACGGAAAAAACTGAGAGAAAATGGCTGTAAGTTCAGCAAACTTCCCACAGGAGGAAAAAAACTACCATAAATCTGGCCATTTGGTAAGTAGCAGCTACTTTGAGAGAGGAGATTATGTGGTGCCGTCACATATGCAACGTGCCGATTTCTAGTTTGTAGTCATGCTACGAACTTTTACAAGCTGATAAATCTCAAAGTATGTGACTGGCGTGGTCAAAACACCCACTGTTACTTTTCATTTCAATAGCAGTAGAACATATGTGGGATCAGGGCGTAAGGCAAAGCAGATAAGAAAATTAAGTTTTTGGCTCCGTTGACTTGCATTCATTGTTTTCGTTCTTCCGGGGACCCATGATGTGGAAGTGACTTAGGCTCCCTATGCTGATGTCAGGT